AATGATATAAATGTTCTCTTTCTGGGAGAGGGCATGATTGGTACAACCCTTTGGGGAACCCTGTCGACAGGGTGATCGTCTTGGTGTGCCACCACTTTTCTCCACGTCCTTACCATTCGACAACCATTCGGTATCCTCTCACTTTATTTTTCATACTCTCATAAAGAAAACTGTACGACCCACCGGGTCATTAGGCAGAACAGAGTGGAGGGGTGGGTAGACACTCTTAAAGGGGTAAAAATTAATGTCTCAGAAATGAATGTCACCGAGACACTAATACCACCGACAACGAAATACCCCACTTCTACCCCCGTCCATCACACGGAAAATATTTATTGGAAAATTTATCGCTTTCTCCAGTCGTGTAACGTTTTTTTACTCTCACGATTTAATGATAACGGAGAAATATTTATAATGAGAATGGAAATTAATGCGCGAGGAGAGAAAAGGGTAATTCAAAAATAAAAAAAATATATATCCTCGTTTGAATTTTTTCGGGGGGTTTAAATATTCAATATATTAATATTTTATCATCACATAATTTATTCCAGTCGTTTTGGAATATGAAATTAAGTATGAGGATAAATAATTATTAACGTCAAGCTTTTCCGCAGACATTTCGAGTTTTCTTGGGGAAAAAAAATGATCGGCTCACCCCGGGGTTCACACGTGGTGCAAGAGTTCAAGAACCCCTATCGGACGTGGGTGCTGAAGTCGAAAAACGGGCGAATAAAAAAAACCGAAACAAGATTGGGGCACGAGGAGCAGGTGAAGATCTTCCTGAGCATATGCCATACGCAATTCGAGGGCCGTATTTCGTCCATTTTTTTTTTCAATGGTTAAACCGTCCAAATCTATTCCCCAGAGTGAATTACCGGTGCGCCACCCCCCAAAACGAAATGATGCAAACCCCTCGGTTTTCCGGGGTCATCCGGGGTCACTCCACACCCCCATAGCTGTTGCATAACACTAAAAAATTTTAAAGAGAATCATTGTTTCATCGAGGCCCTCAAACAAATTCAAGTCATCACTGGTAATCATCAAAAACACAGGCACCCCGTTACATCCCAGAGTACCTGTGAAAGAGCTATCAATTAATCCGTCATCATCGATAAATCCGGGAATTCAATGACTGACCAATGATTTGGCTTAATTTAATGTTGAAAATAATTGTTTGAAAATGTAGAGGGTGTGTCCAATGTGGAATGATTTTGTTGGCTGCTGTACAATGGGGTGCCACTTGACACCCACTACTGATGATGACTGTACCCGTAGCCCCTCTTCTTCGTCATCCTCCCTCGTGCCGCACGAAGTACCAAAAGCCGCAGCCCAATGCACCGAGTGTCCAAAGCAACCCGAACACACATACACAGGGGCATCGGTGAAATTTAGCGTTCACTCTGAATATACGTGTGTTAAACCCCAAAGGGGGTAGAAATCATTAAATGGGCGTGGCGTGGCCGTGGTTGCCCGGATGACGGTCACGTGAACCAAGATGGCCGAAGGCCTGTTAGGCATCCCAACGGTTAGGGACTTTTCTCCTCCTCTCGTTACCTCTACCCCCCCTTTCCGCTTCTTCACCTCCACCTCGCCACCTCTTTCCAGCAGTCATTTGTTATCGGCCATTTTATTTTAATGATTTCCATGCATGCGTGAAACGCTTCGCTGCCAGCGTCCAGCTAAATAGAGAGAGACCCGCAAGGGGTTGAACAACTATGAGAGAGATGGATATCCAATGCTTCATGCACGCTCGTGGTTTGGCGAGGGGTTAAATGAATTTTCGAACAGCCGCCATGATGATTTTAGATTTTTTTTTCAACCTGTCAATTACCACGGGATATCGCGACACGCACGTTTCGCACAATTCGCGGGGATTTTTTCTGTGGGGATTAGAGAATTATTTCAGAAAATGTAGAGAAAGGATTTTTCGTCTGAATGATTTTTCGGGGAACAGCATTTTCAGATCATTGAGTGATTTTTTTTTCTACCGTGGCGATTTGATTTATTTCGGAAGCGGTTCGGGTATTTCCGGAGGGTTGAGCTGGGTCAATGAACCCGGGGGGCTTCATTCATGAGTTTCTGTGACCTTTTCAGGTTATTGAGATTTAAGTGATCCGGTAGGTGAGAATTATTGGGGACGCGCTCGTCGGGTCTCGTGATTCCTGGAGTTCCGAGAATGCGTGGCGAAACCTAACCCCTCAAGCAACTGACCTACCGCAAACTGAGAATCACGGAAGACAGGGGTCGTTCACCTTTGGGCGAATGTGTGCTGAGAGTCAGAGGGACGATTGTCCGTGAATTAGAACTCAACGCTTGAAAGACGGTGATTTTTCTGTTCTGCGCGGTCCGACCATTTTGTGACACGATTTTTCCTGTCAAAATGGCCGTCACTCCCGAGCCGAGGGGCAATCCATTAGCTTCCACATCTCTTCGATATTCGATATTCCCATAAATTTAGCTCGTCCTGAAATAAAAGAGGAAAAAATAGTAACTTTTCATCCATCAACCGGAAGATCATCAGACGTCCGGAATGACGATTCGTAAAGTTCCTCCCTCCGACAATAAACGCTCCAATATATCTCCAAGATATTCTTGAACCCATCAAGTATTAATCCCATACGAAAAAGATAACCCAGAAAATCTTACGCTCAACTCACCAACTCTCGTCAAACCCTGCGAAGACGGTAAAAAAAAATTAAATTATTCCGCTACTGTCAGTCGTCAATTTTTTTTTTCTCTCCACTCACCATTGTATACCCCTCAGCGCCGACTATTTTAATGTACAACACAACTTGAAAACTGGTTTACGAACCAAGTTTAAACTAGTACCCCAAGCGAATGCCCACAGCTCTCCGGTTTATTTGACTCAGGGGAAAAACAGAAGCAAAAACACGAGAATAACCCGAAAAAAAAACATCCCTCCACTTCGTTTTTCAACAAAAATTACAGAACAATTCCTGAATACCCAATGACTAAATTTTTTTTCCTCTTTTAGCCATTTTATTTTTTCGATTATTTTCGCTGAATTTTTCCCTCTGCGTATTTACCGGAAAATTTTGCAGTGATTGTAGAAATTCAGTGGCAACCAGTCATCATAAATTCAGGAAGCGAACAGCAAGCGCATTAAATTTAAATGCCCGACCCATGAAACCCCCACCCAAGTCATCACGCAATTACCTGCATCCCTGAAACAAATGCCCACCCCCAGTAGAAAAAAAAGGCCCTATAAATATTGCGATTTTCGCAATAACAATTGTCGGAGTGCATAATACCCTGGAATTCCCATCGTCCTGACGGGGATTGGGGAAAATGGTGGAGAGTATTTGCGAATTTCGAGTGTCTGGCGCACAGGGGGGGCTTTGAGTTTTGATGACGCCACTGGGCTTTGCATGTGAGTGCGTGCAATTTAATGATTTTCGGTCCCCGGAATTTCGATGACGCCGGGTCATGCATAGGGAAAGTCCTCTCTCTTGCACCAGAGGGTGAGCCACGATGGGGGTGGTCGTAGGGGGATGGTGGATGCAGCGGGGACGTAAATTTTCTAGTGCGTTCATTTGTTCGTACGAACGAAACGCAAATGCATTATACATGGATTGCAGGGGACATTAATTTTCTGGCGTGGACGTGTAGTGGGAAGCGTTTGTGATGGGGTTGGTGTTAGTGTTTGGGTGGAAAGGGGGCGTTATGACTGTGTGAGAGGTAGACCACCCAACTAAAACCCACCCCTTTAGCCTCTCTCTCCCTCTTTACACCAACCGACCGCCTCATATCGCCACGTGCCACTGGTTACTCTTCTCGTTTTTTTTTTCTCTCTATTTTTCCATTCCCTTTTTTTTTCTTTTTTTTATACCCGGGGATTTTGATGGTTGCAGTAGCGATGGTCTTTCTATCCTCACAAAAATAAGAATGAAAAATCATCAGTTTTTCCACTGACTATTTTATAATTAAATACACATTTTGGGTAGTTGTTGATATTTTTTGGAGATGTAATCTCTGATTTTTTATTTCACAGTTAAATAACACCTGTCGGGGTTATTATTACCAACAGGGATGATGGAGCGGTGGACATACACTCTTTTTCATTGTGCGATGAATACCTCATAACGCAATGTTTCTCAAGGTTGTAATTAGTCGACAATGAGGAATATTAATTTATCTTTAATTGCAACACGCGGAAATGAAAACATACGGTTTTATTTACGTTGAATAGTGCTGTTGAAAAGTATAGGTTGTTAAAACAGCTGTTTAGGGATGAGTCCAGTGACTATTTAGGGGGTGGTTTTATTTTTCTACCCCTTCGGTGATCTAGATGTGAATTTTCCGAGGGCAGCGGCAATCAATTATCTTTTTTTAATGATGAATAAAAATTTCGGGTGGTGAAAAAAAAATTTCTTACTCTCAAGGAGCAATCAATAACAGCAGTTTAATAACCAGTGCCTCCCACTCACCCCCTGCATAAACCACTCGCTCTAGTTTTCCGTCGTAATAAAAAGTAAGGGAATACCCAGATACAAGATGATAGAGAGTGGAAAGAATAAACGGGGGAGAGGCAGAAATAGATAGGTGGAGAAAAAGATCGGGAGATCCGATATCGCCTTGACTTCCTGTTTTCCATCCTTCATTTCTATACCGTTCTCCATCGAATTCTTTCACTTCATCTCTCCCTTATTCCTTCCTTCCTCTATCCACAGCTACTTGGGCTTTTTTATTACAACGGGGGCGCCGAGATTCTTTCGATTAATCGGCGATTGAATAAAAGATGAGGAAGCGCTGGATGCCCCGCAGGAATTGCTCCGAGGTACAAAAATTTTTGACGGCCAATTTGTTCAACGTCAAACGTATATAAAGGGCGGGGATTCATTATCATATTTTTTTTTTCATTCATTTATGATTTCTGGAAGAGATTAATACCGATTTTTTTTTATTTTTTCCGGTGCTAGTGATGAAAATAATGACTTGAGAAAATTTTATTTTAGGAAAAAAATCATTGATTGTTACAGGTGAAAGACCGTACAAGTGCCATTTACCGGATTGCGGTCGTGCATTCATACAATTATCGAATTTACAACAACACCTGAGAAATCATGATGCACAAGTGGAGCGTGCTAAAAATCGTCCATTCCATTGTAACATATGTGGAAAAGGTTTTGCTACGGAATCGAGTTTGAGGACACATACGTCGAAGGTCAGTCATGTATGTACCGAAAAAATCTGACGTCCTATTATTTTTTTTTCTCCCCCACCTGATCTCTGAATAATATACCAACACCAGTATTGAGAGAACTATTTTTTTCTGTTATTAATTTTCCCAAACTTCTGCTAACAGATGATTTTTCAATAATAATAATAATGCGCACATGGTGGCGGGTCACGCTTTATTTTTCCGGTGTATCGCTTGAGAAATCAATCTAGAATGAGAAATGACCGTTAGAGATGAGTTCACACGTGTGAGAACAGAAAGGGGTGAATGAAGAAGCGTAAGGGATTAACCTGAACGCGAGAAAAAAAAAAGAGTGTAAAAAATCATGATCCATTATTCGGAGGAGAGGAGAGAGTGATTCGAAGGAAAAAAAAAGTGATGCCTTCGGGGCACTTTAATAAAATTCACCCCATTCGAACAATGGAATCTTGACACATGAAATCTCGTTCTACAGTTGTTTTAAACGCACCTCTTTTCTCTTAGTCGAAGGGGCGGTTAAGACATTTTTTTTTCTCCTCCTCATTCATGGGGCCTTGCCTCCAAGATCATTTTCTCTCTAACCCTTTTTCTCGAAGGGCGAAGGGAGGGGAGACATCGTCAGACATATGTCCAGACAAAAAAAACGTGGGAAGACATCTGCTTGGCGTCTCACCTCTCTTCCGTAACTGACGGGTTCATTCAACTCAACCTCAAATCAAAACATTGATTAGCATATATTTTTTTTTACTTCCTCTAAATGATCATGTTTGGTCATCATCGGACGATGAGTAAAATATTTGCAATTTGTCGCTGAACACAACGAAAAGTGACAGTGAAAAATAGCATCTCCTGGTCGGGCATTACCCATTACCCGAGAAATAAAGTATTGCATTACCCCTTTCCACCGTCGGCCTCACAGTTGGGTTGTAGGTGTAATTAAAATGCTTAAAGTGAAACAGCGGAATAGCCAGGAAGAGGTTGGCAAGGACCAACGCTTTTTCCCAACCCAACGGCATCCTTTAAAAACAGAAAGATTGAGAAAGTGATGAAAGAGTGGTTAAAATAAAACGAATAAACAACTGAATCGCAAAAGCCATCTCCGCTTCTAATTCTATTTTCACCCCCCGCGGAAAATTGTTTTTCTGTGATTATGATCGGCTCGAGAGAAAAATTGAGGGAGATTGAAAAAAATGTTCTGGGGTAATTAAAAAAGAATGGACATGAATCATCGGAGGCTAGTTGGCGTGCCTGAGTGGCATAAACTTCACCTGAAAAACAATGGCAAGAGTGAATAAAGAAGAGGCCATCGAGTATAATGAGTTTTTCCCTTAAAAAATAGGAAACTAAAGGAGGACCTCCGAAAAGTTGATATTCGAACCGCATTTATCGCTGCCGTGCAACACGATATACAAAATAATCCCTTACCCTTTACCTCTTTTCCTTCAACTGTTCTCTTTCCGGCGCCCAAGACATCCCCTTCTTCATTTCGTCTCTCTCCACCTTTCTAAGTCACCCCCTTCTTTCTTTTCGTCTCTTACTCTCACTCTCTTCCCCCTTTACCCCCTCTCATTCTTAATTGCCTCCTCAGCTATATCTCTTGACGCAGTAAAAACTCGTTAGACATTGGATTTATATCCATTTCTGTTTTTACGCGGACGTTTTCCCATTTTTTTTTCTTCTCAATCATAAAGGTTGAGTTCAAGTTTTTTTGAGGTTAGGTTGACGTGAAATGATTTTTTTTTTTCGGGGTAATAGCAGTGGGAATAGTTGAATTTCTCAGAATTAAATTCATGATGAGGAATAACGACATTTGGCGAAACTCCAGCTGCATTAGGACCGGTTCTTTGTCTCACTTTTATCCCGTGTGATTTTAAAATAGAAAAGTGGGACGGCCCTTTTTGCACTAGCTACTGTACACTTGGTGAAATACTCAAATGCCATTTGAGAGAAAAAAAAATAATGGAAACCTAACCTCAAAATTACTCTTGATTGGAAGAGATGAAGAAAAAGGCTTTGGATTGAGACTCAATTTGCTGGCTCCACCCCCTCAACTTTTTGTTGCCAATTGAAGTTTTTTTTTTCCGCGTGCCCACACCCCCCGCGATATGTAGACCCTCGTGATCGACGGGGTGACAGGGGCGGGTGATAATTAAATCATCCAGTCCAACCAGTCAGAACGATATTTTTTTTCTATCCGTCATCACCATTGAAATTCACCCCCTCGTTTGACGATGAAAAAAAAAATCCTTTTTTGCCGCCTTAAACCGGGGGTTGCGCCCACTTTTGATCACCCAGTGGCGAATTTCTGATGATCCATTCTTCCAATAGAATCCCTTCAGCCATATTCACTTCATCAACCAATTTTTTTGCCATTTCCCCAGCCTCGTCCAATCTTCCTGGCACACTCCACTCTCAGTCGAGTGAAGAACCAGTCCAATCCCCTGGATAATCCCGTCTCCCCCTAGCAAGCAGTGAATATTTACTCGGAGCAAGAGAAAAAAGGGCACATTCAAACAATGAAGAAATAAAAAAAAAGTGGCAAAAAAAATTCACATGAATGATAAAACACGGTCCACGATTAACACGACCTTAAACATAACCCAAAAGACAATTCAGCCTCGATGGTGCTCATTTGCTCAGGGTAAGCAAGAGGCTGAGAAAAAAAAAACAACGAAATGAACATTAAACTGAAAATGACCTTGTCCGAGGTTTTTCAACCTAAACGAAAATACCAGCGTTTTTGCCGAACAAAGAGAGTCCTCTCTCCCCCACCATTGTAGCAAACGATAAAAGTATATACGATCCTCGTTACTTCTTTTACTCGTGCTTCTTTTTTTTCTCAACTGAAAACCAACCTACGGGTGTAGAAACTTACAAGGCAAGCAAGAAAAAGATAAGGACGGAGAACACAGGGGGATAAAAAAAAAGTAAAGAAAAACTTGAGTTACATATCCACTCATACACCTATCCCGATAGGATGTTATATTGTTTGTACATAAGGATGTACATAGGGTTCGTACTTACAATCTCGTACGAAGGTTGTCTGTGTTCCGCTGTATGGCCTCGTCGGTAGGCCCAGAGGATGAAAAAAAAAGGCGAGATGCTGGCTTGAAGAAAAAAAGAGAGATGAGGACTAAAAAGAACCATTACCTGGATGAAAAAAAAAGGAGTGATAAAAGTAAAAAGATGTCTTCAGCTGTAACGGGCCAACCTTGGCTCCAATGAGACCCCTATCCCCTGGTGAACGATTGCACGGCATGCGATGGTAGTATCGGCAATCATACATATTGTTGCCCGAGGTTTTCGGTTATATTTCGACAGTGACCTTAATACCACTGAGAAGGAGGGCATGCGAGTTGGTGGCCCTCAGCAGCAACTCAGACACTTGTTAACCTTCTCAAACGCTCCTTACGGCTCATTCGTTTGCCTTCTCCGTTGATCCAGTCCTCCAAAATGATGCAACAATAGCGCCATTTGATTGCAGCACAGTTGTCACGAGAATCACCAAAAATTCAATGAATCCAAACAACACCACGAGTATCCAACAATTGTCTGGAAAAAGGATGGCTGCACAAAGGTGGACGTTACGCATCGCCACGCATTTCGCTCACACCCACTTCCTTTTTACACCACTCCCTTGATGGTTGGAGTCCCCCGTGGCGTCCGGTTAAGCCTCTCTCATCATTAGAGTGCCCCGAAGACACGTTACCAAGGTGAGGGTGCCCCAATCGCCACTGAGATTTGTGTCTCGTGAGGAAGCCCTGAGTGGATATCGCACACCAGGGAGGTAGGAAGCTAAGGAATTGGGTAGTTCAATATCAGAGAGAAGCGTGGAGTTAATTCTAGTTGAAACACGCACACACGATGACGTATCAGGGTGATTGGGTGAAAGAGGGTGAGAAACGATTAGAACCAGCCAGTGTTAGCTTGTTACTGACTGAGTATTGATTCCTTGGCTTGTCCTTTGATGGACTTCTCCATCGAACTTTTGAATAACGGGATGCCACCATCTCGTAGGTGACGCAAGGCTCGAATTTTATCAGCAAGAGGCTGTCAATGATGCTGTCATGATGCAGCACTCACGGTGAATCATAAATAGTGATGATTGGACTCCTTTAGCGAGACTCAGCGATGTTGACCGAGTCTTTAACTTGCAGGGAGGTAATGCCCTCGGGGATAATGACAATGAGTACTACCCTTCTCTCGAGTTGTGATAAATCTGCTCATCGGTCTGATCGTTAAAACTCTCAACGATGCACGCGAAATCATTCAGTGTCGCCCACGCTCTGAAATACTGCAGACTTTTAAGATCCTCTTTGGTGTAGAAGTAGTCTCGAAGAAGTACGTTGAAAAGGAGAAAGAGAGGCATAACGCTGTGGAGATGCTGTAAAAAGCGTTGGACGTTAGAAGGAGTCGCAAAGTATAAGACAAAAAAGCGCAAAGAAACAGTGCGAGGGGGAAAAAAAAAGGAAAAATATATATGCACCGAAGAAGAAACCGGTTTTTTCCAGTTGGGCCAGGTCGGGGCGTCGAACCTACCGGACCACAGCCTCCCTCCGAGAATAACTTGCATGCGGCCAAGAAGATGTTTTCTATCCTTTATTTTCTGTCTTACTTACACCTCCTTCGCTTCTTCCTAAGTTTCTTATTTCTCATTTCTTATTCTTCTTTTATTTATATCTTCTTCTTTTTTTTTCCACTTCTTTTAAAACCCACGGCGAAAGAAACACACATGCAATCCGCATATACTGTGGACTGCATTAACTCAGTCTTAGGTGGCCTAGGTCCGGGATTGAAAGCAACTTGAAAAAAAAGAAAATGAGAATGAGTGGAGAATAAAGAGAGGATGAAAGAGTGCAGGGGAGAATGGGGAGAAAAAAGGATGAGTCTGTGGTATGGGTTTAAAAAGCAAGAGGCAGTGGTTAAAAGGGAGAGTCTTGGCGGCAAAAGAAATGGGAACACCAAGACCATCGAAAAATTTTGGGTCATTGCCGTGTTCAGACACTCGTACGATTTTAGACATTTCGCATTAGCCGCTGTGATGTTTTTTTTTTTTACCACAACGTCATCTTCTTTTTTCGGCATCTATTTTATTTTTATTCCATTCTTCATTCTTGGTCTCTACTTTTGCTCGTTTAGATTACGAGGTCTCATAGGTTGTTGAACTCCGGCCGTTAGACTACACTCCAGAACCCGGAATAAGCATAAATTGTTGTTTTTGTTCATTTACTGTTTTTTTACAGTTTGGTTTAGTTTTCGGTTTTTTTTTCCACTTCTCTATATTTGGACAAATGCCATTTATGTTAGTTATTTTTTTTTCTCATTATTGGGTGCATTAGAATGCGTGGCCCTAAACTCATGTGCGTTTTTTTGTTTTTCCTCGATATAATCTCTGGAGTTTTGAATAATCGCCAGATCCCTATGTTAAGGACGTCTGATTTTAGTGATTAATTGTTAAGTTTACAAATTGTTTGAATATTCGGACCAAATTTTGCAGCTAATCATTGGTTCTATGCATTGCAATCACAAATCATCATTCTATAAATTTTGAAGTATGATTAATGTTGTAACCAAATATTGGCAACAAAATACAAGAATCACCAGATTATCTCGCAACTCTGATTAATCTCAGTTGTACGTTGGATGCGAATGATTGAGTATCTCAGAGTTGTGGATTAACTGAGTGACTCTTTTTTTGTTCAATCATTGTGGATTGAGTCGAATGACACGAAAAGAATAGAATCAGTGTCGGTATGAGGCCAGTAGCGAGGTCGAATGATCCTTGATGGATTGAGTGGTGTCTCGAATAAAAAAAAAAATTAGTGACAAGAAATCGAGAAAAACTGTTGAAAATAATTATGAAAGATATCAAGTGATTGTCAGTAATTGCTAGATTATTCGGTAACAATTTATCAGTGAATCCATCTCAGTATGCATTTGATTTGATAAGGAAAGGAGCATCTGGCAACACTGCAGAAAGTAACAGAATCAAGCGAAAGAGACCACCCACTCACTCCATACCCAAAGGTTCATTACCGATACTCATTTTTTTCACTCATCCTTGGCCTCCATTGAAACCCAACGTAATTTTAACGATTTATATTGGGTCTCGTTGAGAATGAAATATTGAGTCCATTGAGAACCAGAAAAAAAATGATTAAAAAAAAGGTTGAAAAAAAAATATTTGAAAAAAAAATAATATCTGATGAATAATGAAAATAAAAGGACTCATAACTGATGCAAAGCGTAGTTGCACTGGTGGCGGTAAAATTGGCGATTAGTTTGTAATTTTGTTATAATTAATTTATTTGGTAAATTGCCTTAACTCTCACACTTTTTGGTATCATTCTGTTCTGTGCCCGCCTGTCCTGCTGCTTCTGGTACACACACTATAATATCTCAAAAAAACTAAAAAAAAAAAAAAATCAAATCACAAAAAAAAAACGAAACAAAAAAATGCTCCTGGGCTCGGTTATCTCTGGGGTGGCGTCTCCAACCATATCTACCGGTGTCCGCGATTACCAATGGCCGCTTCTATCACGGCGACAAAAAATCTTCTGGTCATCGTGCTCCAACCTTTTTGAATCACAATACCAAAAACCAAACAAAAAGGAGTTGCAACAGCGTGTTGTGTTCCAGCAACACGCCGGCCTCATCGGCGGCCCAAATGCTACCAGCTGTCCTGTCTGTCACAAGCTCTTCTTAGGAGGTGAGGCACTCATGGAGCACATGAAGATCACCCACAAGGATCCAAATGCCTCTGGTGTTGCCAGTAAGTATCTACTGCTGTAAGAATCACATAGTCACTCCTCATAAAGGGGACAGTATACTGTTCTGTCTCAGACAATCTTCATTTTAAATAATCTATCCTAAAAAACACAAGCCGAGACAGATTGTCAACGAAAGTATGCTGATCCTTTTAGTATTTCACATATCCCCGGACTAGCTTTTGGCGCGGGCATACGTGTCTTACAATCTACGGCGTGGATACTGTTTTGGATATTGACTAACATTAGAGAGCAACTAATAATTCAGGAGGTGGCTTTGAGATATTTTTTAAATGAAGCTTCATCTACTTCTGTGTGTGAATGACACGAGTGTTGCATAACTCAATGATTATCGATGAGTGGAGAGGATATGAGAAGATTGTCAGGTGGTGATTGAGCGTGTGAATGGGTTATTCTTTATCTAAGATTAAGGCTCTTCTTGGGGTGCTTTATCCTGCTTGGCATTGACCTCGACCTTGTGTCGTACTATTGTTCCCCCTGCTGACTGCACCACCTCCGTTGCCGGGGTTTACCTAGCCAAACGAAGGACGGCCAATCATCCGTGTCCAGTTTGTGGAAAGCACTATGTCAATGAGGGAAGTCTTAGGAAACATTTGGCGTGTCATCCTGAAACTAGTCAACTCAGCACGAATCTCAGGATGTGGCCGTGTTCTGTGTGCCAAGCAGTGTACACTCATGAGAGCGGTAAGCTATCATAATACCGATGCTGTAAATATTATTTCACCATCGGTATCCATCTGCATGTGATTTATTCGGTATTTGTCAAGGGCTGCTGAGTCACATGGAGCATATGAGAATGGATCCTAAGCATCAGTTTGCAGCACAGTACGTCCTTAGTCGAGCAGCTGCAGAGAGACGTGAGAGAGAACTTTTGGCAAGCTCTAGTTTAGGTGAGATATCTCTCCATCCCCTCATCCAGATCCGTCAAAAGAGTGGCAAATGAGTCATGATTGGGATTAATTGTTTGTCCAGGTGCTGGTCTTGGCGTGTTGTCAGGCCAAGGAGGACCTCAGAATTTGCAACAGCCACCGATGTGCCCCTCACCGTCAGCCCATTCAGACAGCAGTAGTGGGAACGGAAGATTATCATCAGCCGGTAGTGAACCTGGTACGCTCAATTTTTTCTAATCTATCATTAAAATTGTCTCATTCACCTTGGCTCCATGACAATGACGTGTCGGAACGGATGAAATTAACGAGAGCAGATTTTTGCGCAGGCACCGGTCTCCTGAACAACAACAATACCAACAATAATAACAACATGACATCACCGGGACCAAGTGGCAATAAATTGAGTGAAATGTTGAGAACAGGTAGCCAACCGAGTTCAGCCCAACAATATCACGATGAGATGCAGTCACAACAGCAGCGTATGGCAGTAATGGCTGCTGCTGTTCAAGCAGTCGGTGAGTGTTATGATGATGACTAACTGACGACAATAAACAAATAGTGTACACACACGGAATGATGCAATGATTTTTCAAAAGGTTTACAAAATTCGGTGTCGCCGAATCTCTCGCCAGTTGACGTTGCGTCTCTAGCAGCGGCAATGCGAATGGGTAATAACGGCGACATGACTGGCAATGCTCAAGGCTCGACGGGACAGCAGCAGCAGAATGTCCAGTCTGGTGGTCAAGCTGAGCAAGCAATTAGAATGCATCAGGCTGAGGCCCTGCTGCGGTCCCAAGCGGAAGCCGCCCTCAGACTTGCAGTGAGTATCGACATTACCGTTTAATTCTTGTCAACTAGTATTTCAATATAGAAGAGTCTTGAGTCGATAGAGCCACGATGTGTCACAATGAAGTATCGACTTGGAGATTACGATGAATTATTGAAATATTCGATATTCATTGGCTTGGTGGAAATATTGATGACATTCAATCATCAAATTGAAATCTCAAAATTCGAGAAAGCACTTAGCCAGATGATTATTTGATGAATGAGTCTATGGATAAGTGAATGGTATTTTGATATGTGCTATTGTATGTATGAGCAGGTATCACAGGCGGCGGCAGCAGCAGCGGCAAGCTCAGCGGTGAACAGTGACATGAGGCATCATCTCGGTCAGCACAATGGTGGTAGTACGTCCGGTATGTCTGGTCATCATGGTAATCAACAGCTGTCCCAACCAGACAGTTTATCACCGGACCTAGGTAAGTCGAGCCAGATGATGAGGAGCCACGGTGAAGACATGCAATCCTCCAACAAGCGCGTACGACTAACCGCTAGCCTGATTCCATCATCAGGGGAGGCGCTTAGACTACAGGAGCAACGATTAGAGCAGGCACTGAGGCTACATGGTGATCCACGTGCACTTGGCTTCACTCTGCAGCACGTTGTTAATCAGCAGAACAATCAGCAACCATGAAAGTTCAGTTACTACTGAGACGAGTGGACCCCTTGGACAAATGACATGTCCTTACCGCTTGAACGTGATCAGATGCAGCAATTGCATCAGCAAAATCAATTGCACCAGCAAATGCAATTGCACCAGCAACAGCAGATGCAACAGCAGGAGCAACAACGTTCAACGCCGATGGGTGATCAGCAGCAGCAAATTACATCAGTTATTGCTACCGATGGTCAACATCTTGAGGACAGAGGTGTCAAGAGAAAGGCCGATGACATGGCCACCGGTGAGAATACGCAAAGTTAATTCTCACTTTTCATTAACAACAAATCAATTACAATAACTTTTGATTATCTCTTTTGTCCAAGTGTGGTCATTATCGTATACACTCGCTGTCTCAGCAGTATGAATTTCAAAGTAACAATATCATATACTTACGGATATCTCAATACCATTCAACTGACAATACTTACTTTGTGAACAAAACTGGCTTTCGTCTTCCATTATTAGAAGAAAGGCTGCACATTGACATCGGCATTGCGCAACCGAGGAATGAACAACTTGAGCCAATTCCGTTCACTATGAGTCAATGACATTTGATTCAATAATCAGATCTCAATGACACTATGAAAAACATTCAAATATTCCAATCGTCATACGGCTTGACGTTGTCCCATATATGAAATATTGAAAAGCTGGGTAGTCAATATCCGCTCACGTGCCATAATATTGCGCAGAGTTCTTAATAATCTTAGCCAAACGAAATCCGGTGATTATCCAATTGGTTTTTTTTTTTGGTCAAATGAATCAAGTACTGTAGCCATAGTACGGGAGTCCTGTCTCCAATCACCAGACATGATTATAAATATCACGGGTGATTTAACTGAAGTGTCATCCGTGATGACCAACGACTCAAAATAATTCATATACCCAAAGTGAAATCACTTGAATTTCTCCATTAATGAACTCCAAAATGGAACTCAAATTGAAATGGTGTCAAAAGCACCAGACGCGGACTCGCGATTTAAAAAAAAAACCTATGTATAAACAGAAAATCCATTAAAACGTAAATAATTCGCGCGTGATTATAAAAATGATAAAATAAATAAATGTACAGACCGACTTAACTGATTAAACGTATTTGACGGACGTATCTTGACTGAGTATGAGCTGAGAAAATTTACAATGTCTCAATACACTTTGTACACACTATAAATAATATACAAATAATACACTTATACATAATTACCCGATGAATGAGACAATTAACGAATAATGACGGTAATGTGCGCTTGAGAGCACATATTGGAATGTTCGCGCATTGCTGACTATATAAATGAAACACACAATACATAAGTGCTCGGCGTGGCACAAAAACTATTAGTTGGTAAGAAACGAAACAAACAAAATATTATTACAAACAGTTATATTATATATTATATATATACATACGAGAATCTAAGGTGAATTTCGAATGAAAGAGAAACACATACACAAGTGAATAAACGCTGTATAAATAACAAAATTAATAATAACAGCGAAAATGTGAAGTTTTTCTTTTCACACGTGAGATTGAAACACAATGATGATTTCAGAGAGATAAAAAACTAAATGCTAAATATTATATATATATTATATATATATAAATATTATAAATAATTGAATATAGGGTCTATGAAGTTTAGGTTTAAATAAATGAATAAATAAATAGAATTTGAATAAAATGGATGTGTGCGGGTGTGCGCGAGTGTTCGCGTGGCATTTCTCGATTGATGATGATTTTCGAAAGTGTGTCTGGGTTTCATGTAAAGAAAAATGAAAAAAAAAAATGATAAAAAAAGTGCCTGAATGCGGAGAAATGTGAAAATGCGACGGTGTGAGTGAATAGTTTTTCATTTAATTTCCACAAATTGATAATTTTTCTTTTTTGATGTACTATCGGATATCCCGCGCGGGTGCTCGTGCACACCAATTCATGAATGCGGAACTGAGAGATTAAATAATAAATGATAAAAAAAAAGAAATAAAAGATGAGCGTTAAAATATGTGAGTGAGAATTTAGAGTCCTGTGTGCTTGAGGTAATCTGAGGTCCTGTGATCGTTAATAAGCGAAATATTTTTTTATTTCCGATAAAAAAGATGAAAAATAATAAGAAAAAAAGTGGGTAAACACGTAACACTTTGTGCGTCGTTTCGAATCTTTTAAAAAAAACCTTTGCAATATAAATATCGTTACGTTCTCGCAATATTAAGCAAAAAAGTTTAAAATGAAAAAAATACAAGAAGGGAAGACTCGAGTGGGAGAAAAAGTTATAAATGATAAAGACGAACAAAACGATAACGTGGGAAAAAAAAAAAGTCCGTGAATTTTTCAAATATCGCCGCCGGTGAGATGGCGCTTACCCTTGCGTTTAGAAAATGGTAATTGGTCGTCCGTGCTCTCTCGATATTGGGGAACTACATTAAATTCATCGTTAAAGTGACTAGGCATCTGTAATATTACGATCGGTTCATAGAATTGATATCGCAGTTTGCGATAAAGTATGACAATATAAACCGTAAATTAACCTTCATTTCAATTTGAGAGAAAAATTCAACAGCTAAAAAGATAAAAAATATAAATCGCAGACTGAAGAGTGCGGAATGAATGAAAATGCCGAATTTCGTTCTGCTCCTATTTCTCCCTTCCTACGCCCTTTCCTCGCTACTTTGAGGGGATACTTTCATCCTACACTTTTATGTTCGCAACAAAAAGCGTATTTATGATGGAATGATAAACATCTCGGCCAGATATTCAAAACAAATATTTCGAGGGAAAAGAAAAAACTATAACTTGCGTTAAATGAATTTCAAAGATGTTCTCCAATCGCGTAAATCTACTGACAAAGGACAAAATAAAAAAAAAACAACCAGAAGGGATCGTATTAGGAAGATTCAGAAAATCAATCGTCTTTATTGATACATATATGATAACACTCAAGGCTTCTCACTATCCGAATGAGATAAGAAACGCCAATGGATTCATCGTAAAAGCTACAGTTTAACGGCCGGATCGATTGGATTCACCGACTGGAACTTTATCGTCAGAGCAATCAAAAATATTTTTTATATTTTTCAATAAATCTTTCTGCCATTTTAGTTATATCTACCGTCAAAAATTCAACATCGTGGAAAAATTGAAATTGAAATGGCAGCCGTTGTTCCAGAAAAGCCGACTCCATCGATCTGCGTTGCGTCTCCGTTTTATCTTCCCGACGATTTTTTACGTTACAGCGTGTTTTTCCTACGGATAAATTTTTCATTTTGTTGTCTGATTAATGTAAATACACCGCAGGATGAAAAAAAAAAAAACGTAACAAATTACCGCAGAACGAGCAGTTGAACCGCAGTTAATGCCATAAATCATAATGCAAAATAGGATTAGGTTTGTCAGTGTAAATACCTAAAGCGTATTGAACGGGTGCATACCCCCGTTAATCGCAACCAACGTAATACTTTTTAATCACAAATGATGATAAAAATATAATAAAAAAAAAACATGCAGAATACCATGCTTTATTTGATCGTTTGTTATCGAACGGTCCGACAAGCAATTTTATCATTTCATTCAGTTTTATTTTCGACACAAACACACACGCACACTCAAGTGAATTAAATTTACCAATAAATACGGCATTGCGATGGATTGTACAGATAGGATAGATGTAAGCCTTTAAAGTGAAAAATAATAACACACATTTTTACACACTTTGAGAAATATTTAATGAAAATAAATGAAAATCCGCACCAACAGGCACGATAAACTGGCCTACGCAATCAGGGTAGGGACCAATCTCCATATGTTCTCGTTTTTATCTCATTATTTAGCGAAAAACAATTGTTTCCTTGAAATTACCAATGCCCTTTTGTCCCCTTAATTTCTCAGCATTCCCTCTCACAAATCCTTCCGACGAAATTCAACAAGATATATTTTTTTTTTCAAATCAATCTCGAACGCACCATTGAATTTCGGCAAAATGATAATCGCGTGGAAACGGGGCAATAATAATTTTACCGACAAATTACATATTCGGATTATGATTATTCCGGGACTGAGATGGATGTGATTGTTTTATTATAGTTTAATTTTTGGTGATGAATGATCAGAGGGAATCTAAAGGTCAATTCGCTTAGGATTTTTATAAATATTAGAGTGAAAAGATTTTTTTGGCCTTTACAGCCGGGAGAAATACGTTTTTCATTAGCACCATTGATTTTCGGTCCCTGAGAGCAGACAAAAATTGAGTAACAAATAAATATGAAGAACACGTGTTGAAAATGCCATCGACTACAACAAAATGATTTAAAAGAAAAATAAAAATAAATTGAACATCTAAAAAAAATGTGAAATTAGTAACAACAAGCAAGAAACAACAGAGAAACAACACCTGCACGCCGTAAATCCTTCATGACCACACAAAGCCATGGAACGATTGACTGACGACAGAAGTTTAAACCGGTGCATCCTGCCGTGCGCTGAGGGTCAATTTTCTGGGGTTCCCGCACTTAAAAAAAAAAATGAGGGAACACTCGAGAAAAGGAATCCCCCCCGAGGCGTCGACGCGTGCCCCGCGAACGTGTACAATATTAATTTTTTTTTTTCAATAAAAAAAATAATAACATTACAAGTGAAAAACTAATCTCCAAAGACAAATAAATCAACCGAATAAAAATTCACACACACACAGGTACAATAGCTCGTAGTGTATGTTCTGTAATCGAAGAAAGATAAAAAAAAAGATAAAAAAAAATAAAAATGTGACGTTACCGCCGCGTTGAAAAAAAAAATCATATAAAAGAAAATAAAAAAATAATTTACAAATATATTGATTTACATATGCCCGTAACTCATAAGGGGGTGGGGTGGCGCAGTCACTTTGTGGAGTCTCTGGGAATGCGTGAAAGTGCACCGTTGAAGGATAAAAATGCAATGCAACAGTTGAAATTCAAACTGCAGAGAAAATATCCAGATATAAAGATAAAAAAAAAAGCAATTCAACAAGTGATGAATTAAAAAAAAAATTGCAGTAGCCATTCTCAGAAGAATCAATAGACAGAGTTCATTTGAAAATGACTGCAAAGCTTCGTCCCGCTCGACCATAATCTTAATCTCTTCATGTAAATTGCTAAATGTTTATAATTAAAAGAAATTAATGCCATAGCCCGGATGCGCTGGTGTATACTCCCAGCGCATACACACTCACAAATACGACTCGACCTCGAATTAAACCGAAAGAAAAATCCGCGACTTCAGTTATTTGTAACCGCGGTAAAATTGGTCAAACAAATGCCAAGACACCAAGTAATCAAAATATTTTTTAACAATGAAAATATTTTTAAAAAATACAAATGATACAGACATCTAAAGCGTCAGCTCCATAATTGAAAATAATAATAATACAGACACAGTTGATACGAGGATTCAATCGTTCGTGTTTGTTGCCCACTTCGCGAATGATGTCCTTGATAATAAAAAAACGCCCTGGTTCTCGGAGTGCGCTCTCCCGTGCGCACTCGGAAACACAATTCTCATACACGGGGACATCGCCAATGATTGGACAATTCCGTCATTGCAATGAGCCTCACAAGATTAACACACACCCACTGCACTCAACACTATGAAGAAATAATACAATGACACATTAATGACACTTTGTTACACAATTACACACTACGGATATGTAAAGCCAATTGTTTTTGTAAATTGTCAAAATAACTTTCGATAAATTGCGGATACATTCAAGAGAGGAGGAAGTGAAAAAAGGAAAATAAGTCGAAAAGAGAAGGAAAATTTCATGAGATTTCGGCCATCTTGTCATAGCACTTTTTAAAGTTAGTTGAGGGACGCCACCGATATGGGGCGCCACTTGAATTATTTTTATCAAACGCGAGAGAATATGGAAAATAAACGAGTGAAATTAATAGAAACATTTATCGAATATACGACGTTTGTGGAATGGTCGATAATTCGCGGCCTTTGGCATACGTTTGGATGCATTGAGAATAATTAAAATCGAGATTACACGTTTTTCATTAATGTGTTACTCGAGTTTGTTGTCCATGCACCAGAAAACCCTCGATTATGACGACAATATATACCCGAATGTGACAAATAATTGAGAGCAAGATGATTAATGATTATTGAAATGAAACAAAAGGATAATATCTCACTGAGAGAAATGTTTCCAGCTGATTGTGATAATCATCCTGCTCATCAATCCTGCAATCAATTCCGCCATTAAATACACCAAGAATGATGGACTTAAGAGCAACGGCTTAGAGAGCCATTGTTTCAGGCTGAATAAATAAATAAAGAAAAAAAAAAGGCGAACGAATATTTAAACAACGGAAAACAGATGAAAATAATAAAAAAAAGTAATGATAACAGTGTTTGTTTGTTTTATCCAACGGGTTTTAATTTTTTAATGAAATAATCTTACTATTTGGATCTGCATGGCTATACAAAAGGGACCTCCGTGGATTTAAAAAATTGATGATCCGAGCGAGCTTTGCCTCAATTTGTATACCGTGTGATTCCGATGATGAAAAAAAAATAAGAGCAGTGAAAGAAAAAAAAATAACCGTAAAGTGCGCAGCATATATGAAAACCGACAGTCTATAGCAGTGCGAGCGCCTCGGGAACAGGACGCGTCTTCACGCGTCTTCACCGAGCCTCGATGATTAAAAACCGGAATAAGTTGTTTAAATGTCCACTATATAATCAAGAGTCATAGTTGTTAAGACGGTGAGCTCAAACTTCTTGAAATCTCATAATCTTTTCAAATCAACCATTAATTACCAAAAAAAAATTGAGAAAAAAAAAACAGTTGAGATTGATAATTAGGCACAACATTTGAAGCTATTATTGAGGTTAGATCTCACCGTGAGACTCGCAGGTGGAGTCACTGGTCAATGCCCAGGCAGTGATAGTGGCTCCACTTGGTTTGGGTCGTTGATTTTTTCGAAATATTCTCCAGAGCTTTTGTTCACGGGAATATGTTGATTTTTTGTCCCACGATCCACTGACCCCTCGATGACGAGTCATCGTAATCCTGCGCAAAAAGGATTGACTGAAGTAGAGGCTCAGTTCTGGGGGCTTGAGTGACCCCAGCGGCATCGTAGGACTGCACCCCAAGAGAGGTAGGGCCCCACATGCAATGGGGGTGTCTGCCCCTCAGCCGACTAGGTACTGCCTCAGTAGCAGTCCCACTGTCAAAGGGACTAGTCGACAGGATGAATGTCATTTTCTGCGTTAAGAAATTGGGCACCAGTACTACGATGCCACTGGGATCACTCCAACCCCTAGAACTGACCCTCTACTGTAGTCAATCCTCTTTGGTCCTGCGTATGCGTGTCCGAGGTGCTTAAGACCGGGTTCAAACCGAAATTCTTTGTTTCAAATAAAAAAATTCCCGATGACGGTTCATTCAATTGACAAATAAACCATTTAATTTGGAAAATACGATTGACTAATAGTGTACCACTGAGTGAGTGCCTCCGTAAGGGTTAATAATGTTTTTTCCGTTACAGTGAACAATCTTCAATTTAACTCAGAAATATAAACTCAGCAAAGTAGTAGAAACAAAATGCATACAATAGTAGAACAGTAAATAAACAAATGATGTACCACAATTAAAGTTAATCAGTTAAGTAAGGAAAACAGAAAAAAAAAAATAATCAGCCAGAGAGGATATACTCAATGTTGTATTTTTTTTCCGCTCGTCGTATGACTTTTAATGATTTGTGCCAAAACTATTGATTCATTCATCCGGCAAGCAAAATCACTGACTATTGTTTAAATTTATTTATTAGCGACTGGCAATCCAAAATCAATGAAAATTCATCTACACCTGATCCGGAAAAAATACGAGCGGAAAATCTCCCAAGTGTACCAATAAGAATAAATGTATTGAGTGTTCGTAGTGATTTAGATTTTATGCAGAAAAAATAAGTAAATGCAGTCGTAATACTCGATTTTAATCCGCAATTAAGGAATGATGAGAAATAATTGATCCATTAATGAATAATTTGAGAAAAAAAAGTCCTTTTAATCATCATGAAAGAATTCTCTTCACACCCAAGTCAATCATTCCCCAACATAATGTCAAGTTCTGATGAAAATCAATAATTAAACTTTAATATTAAAAATAAATCAGTGAGAGTAATCCTTACGGGAATGCATAAACCACAGCAGACAGACATATTATTAATAAACGTTTATCCGGATTAGATTTAAGATTAAGCAGGAAATGATGATGCCCCAATGGTAATCATCAATCGTCGTTTTTAATACGCGGAGGCACACACTAGAGGATTTTAAGTGACTTGGGACTCGGACCCGAATCGCCAGGACGTCGTGCGTTCGACGGATGTTCAAATTCATGAAAAAATAATCCAAACTATTGCCACTGATTGTGATTTTAATTCACAATTCCACAATGATTTTGATTTGATTTTTCAATCAAACATTACATCCGCAATATACATCCGGCAAACGCACGGACACACCCCGAACTCCCAATTTCCCATGAAAAAGTTTTTCATTAGTCATTTCAAGTGCATAAAAGAACAATACTTGAGTTCACTTCACTTATGACATTTGCTTTGAACACAATACAAACTCCCCTTATCCTACCCCCACAAAGTACCCAGCAAAAAATAAAATGAAAGTTAATGAATACAAATATCCCCTGCAGAAAATAAAAATTCATTGAAAAATTGTATTGAAAGAAAAGCCAAAAAGCTCAAGGAAGTCCCCCCTCCCCCACTTTAACTAAATTTCACATACGCGTTTGTTCAAGTTCGTTCGCGAGGTTTAAATAAATTTTTTGTTGAGGGAAATGCTGCTGGGTATCACTCATCCGCACTGTGATAATCATCGATTGTCAAGATTCATTAATTAAAATTCACCTTCGGAATAGATTCAATGGAAATAATAGTGCAATTGAAATTTTTTATTAAATTAATGGTCGGATGAAAAATTGTTGATAAGGATGAGTGAGGCCCGGCAATGTTCTCTGATAAACGGCGAACGTTAAGTTTCAGACTTCAGACTTTTACGTACAGTTAGTTACCAGTTTACTACAGCGCAAGTTATTGTTAATTTTTGATCAATATCATTAGCCTCGGATGAATCATCGACGTGATTCATTGGATCCTATGATGTTGTGGTTAATGATATTTATTGAGTTTTGTCAAAGTCCCCTTTTGGGCATACACCGACGCATGGGTCCCGCCAAAATCATCAACGCCATCTGGCCCATAACCTCGAAAAATGCCGAAAGAGACATCCGATTAATATTTGAAGGGAGAGAGCTATGAAACTGAAATTCTATTCTAGTCAAAAGCAAGGTACAAAGCCAGAAGGGCGTAAATCGGTACTTATTCTGCAAAATGGCGGCGAGCCGTGAAATAAAATTGATAAAAAACGGATGGCTCTTAGATTCAGTAGACGAAAATTTAACCAACTGCAAAACAAAGGTTATGAACCGCCAGATGGCCCCAAAGCGGGCCCCATTCATTGAGACGATAAATGAATTGAAGAACCGCGTTGAAAACACAAAATAGCCTCTTTTACGTTTCGTCGTTCTCGAGCCGTTGAATGAAAGAATTCGACAAATCGATTCTTTTGAAGAGAAAACTCGAAAAAAAAAAATATAATATGGATTTGAAATAATGACATACTTTGAAAAAACGGATGTACGATGCGAATGAATCTTTGAAAATCTTCGGTTGTCCTATGTTTTTATTGAGCGTACGATTCGTCAGACGCTATCCCGAGGACGCGAAAATCGCGGAAATCGCGGACGTCAACGAAACAAAAAGTGTAAAATTGAATGTTCGATGGTCCGCGATATTCACGCCTCTCGAATCAACAGAGGTTCTTAGACCTCCGATATACAATGATTATACACCAACAAACATTATCACACTGACAATTAAAGGCGTATTTTCTAGATGATGATGAAAATAAATGGAAAATAAAAATGGCCATACCCTAAAACTCAAACAAGTGTTGAGATATTTCTCCTACATCACCCTCTCTTCGTTTAATATAAAGACAATACATTAAACATTGACATACTCATACCCCAAACCCCTCCGAATATTATCTCGTAAATAATGTTGACGTTTAAATATTTCCATTAAATAAACACACGAACCGTTGGAAATAATGAGAAAAACAAAACTAAAATGATAAAATCCGAATGCTTAAAAACGAATTATTGATACTACGTAGTTGGAGTTGAAGCAGTGGGAGTTTGCAACTTGTCATTAATTAAGCGTTCATTGCATAATTAGAGAAACAAAAATACTCATGATTTATTTTTTAATGAAATAAAGAAATAAAAATTGCATTTGCAACTGCCCCCCCCCAGCGCCGATAGTCGAGCCATTTTGTGAATCATATGTACTGACGAATGAGATGATAAAAATAATTGATGCAATTGACTATCGGTGAATGGATTTATCACGTTATGTTTGCTAGTCACAATTGGTTTAAAAACACGATGAAGCAAGCTAGATTAAAGCATAAATATTTTTGTTTTATTATCTAATTTGTAGTTTATAATGTTTCTCAGAATTATAATAATTCCACGGGAAGCTACGGTCTATTACTACTCTATTACTATTTCTTCAGCATTTTATTTAGTTGCAGTAGAGTGAGTGATTAAAAAATGTGAATCAATTAATATGTTTCTGATAATGGTGTGGAATATGTGGTGAGAAAATGGTGCAGCCACCTGCTGCTACTACTACTACGACTACTAGTAATTTTACCACAACAGGAAAATATAATTTTTATTAATTAAGCAAATACCTAGGTTTTATTTTAGATGATAAATTTCATTATTATTATTGTCATTATTATATTTATAGAATGGAGCACCGTGTTGTCTTCTTCGTATTTGTTCGCGTGTGTTTATTTTCTCATCATTTTTTCTGTTATTCTATGTGATAATATCTAGTTTCGTGTGTCTACTAGAGAGAGGAGTGAAATTTTTTTCTCTTTTCTTTTTCATATTGTGCAAAATAGAAATCTTTTAAATACGCTGGACATTGTCACACGGAATTTAACGCGTGCATTTATGTGTGAAAAATAAAGAAGCCAATTATTGTTGACTATTGCGTTTCATTTAAAATTATCCGTACGATAATTGTCGGCTTTGTGAATAACAAATGAGTTTTGGATAATAGGGTACACAAATTTTTTCAATACTGAAAAATGCATAAACCTGAGAGTGAAAAAAATTGTTGAATAAATTCCGATTAATGACGACTATTAATTATTCAGTTAAACTTAGTTCATTTATTTGAAGAGCTACTATTGTCTAGAAAATAGTTACATCGGTATTTTGTAATTTTTCATTTCATTTAAACTGATTCAAGCATTTTTTCGTAATGAGATTGTTATCAAGTGTTTCGAAATGGCATGATTTGTACAATTAGATTAATGAAATATTGTTGACTGTTAATGTAAAGAAAAAAATTAAAGCAGAACAGAACAAAGAAAACGTATATTGTGACGATAGTCACGTGAATGTGCAATTTCGAATCAATTGATTACAAAGATATTTGAGAAATTTGCTAAAGTCATTATTTCGTATGTATCCTTCGGTTACGATTGAGTTCACGCATTGAGATGTTATGATTTAATATACAATATTATCACGATTCACTTATGGATACCCACTACAAATATTTCGAATAAGAAGAGTTGAAGACTTGATATATATTTTTGTTCTTCGATTAAATCAATTTCTGTAAATGTTTCAACACTTGGACTGATCGAAATTCAGAACGCGTAATATTAATTTTTGTAAATAGGTACTCCCGAAATAATCGCAACACGTTGTTGGAAGAAATTTGTGACGAGAGGATTTTTAGGACGACTAGGCAAATGTTTAGGCTAACATCAATCAATCATTATTCGGTAAAACTTTGGAAAATGTGAGGAGCATGTGGCATTCCACATACGTGAGATGTTGAAATTAAACGGAAGAATGTTTAGCGTGAGAGAATTTTTTCCAGGCACACACGAAAAAAAAAAAAATCATAACAACGGTAATTGAGTAGAATTAGACTAAGGAGAGCGATTATGAAAAGAAATTAACAAAGAATGGTCTCTTGAGCTTCCAAGTTTCTCCAAATGGGGGCGTCATCTTATCTGCTGCCAAATTCACGTCTGTTCAACGGCTTAATCATTTTTTTCTTTTCCACTTTTCGTACTCGATGGATGATTATAAATTTTAAAATGTATAAAGGAAAATTATAAAAATTGTCTCGAGATGCTGAAAATGAAATATTCGATATATTCTGTAAATAAGAGTGGGAATTTAATTAACGAACAATTGTAGAAATTAAGGTTTTGATGCGTCTCGAGATAGTGAGGAAAGTGACGCCATCCTTGGACTGACTTTTTGCTCTGTATTAAAATTAAGATTTTAGAGATTAAATCGGAAGGGAGTGTTTAAAATTGTGAATGGGATTTTTTCGAGATACTAAAATTATTGAGTGTGTGGAATTACCGATAAATCATGTGCAAAAGTAATTTTTTTTTTTTCTTTTTCGGTGAGTGCGTGGCGTATGCGAGAGATGCAAAATTTTATTACCAAGTGGACTAGAAATCGCAATCGATGGGCATTATTAGAGAAAACGAAAACTACATTTCGGTGCGTCTTTTTGAATGATAAAAAAAGAGTATGGTAAAATTATATCCAAAAAGAGCGTCCAAATTGTACCTATTTTGATTTTATAAATGATTACGAGTTAATATTTATGCGACGACGACGACGACCTAATGATTTATTACAGAAAAATAATATTAAAAAATAACAGTTGATTTCACTGTCATATAATTGTAAAGCGAAAAAAAAAAATGAATAATTGAGGAGGGGACGAAAAATCGTAACAAAATTATGGCGTTGTATCTATATACGGAAGTGATGATATAATGTATTTGAGTCGTGATTATGTATAGTTAAGGCTTAAGTCGATAAGAGTGAAAAAAAACACAGAAATACACACACATGAGAAAATTAACATTTTAGGCGAAAAAAAAAAGTTAAAATTAATTATCGGTAACTATTAATCTGGGAGTGATGGTCCTCCCGGTATAATCATTGTACATTGTATGTTGACAGGAGCGTTTACGCTAAAGAAGAATCTTTTCTCCTGAAAATGTTTAAAGAAAATTAAATATACAAAAACTTGAAGGGAAAAATAGGAACAATGGGAAAATGGAATCAAAAAATTATTAGCGAACAAGCGAGAAAACTTATTGTTTAAATCCTCTTTTTCCTCAGTTATAATTTTTAATATCAAATGTTCTTCTCTATATTTTCTTTCGTTCAAGTGAATTATATCTAGTTCACAAATAAAATAAACGATTTACTATGTGGAATTGTTTCCATTCAAACTTTCTCAAAAGTAAACGAAACAAATTGTTAATGGATATATTCAACATATCGGAGAAATAAAAACCCAAGTGAAAAAAATATATATTTCATTCTCCAGTGTTCCTTCTCCCCATTCTTCCAGTTTTTTCCTCTAAAAAAAAAACATTTCACAAGAAAAAAAGAATCAGAAATCCACTATCAATTTTCCCCTCCTTTCCCCTATATGAATGAATGAATTTGCAAGGGAAAACAAAAAAAAAATTAATCCACCAAAAAAACTGTAAGAGGGAAAAAAAAATATCATCGATTTGTAAAAGAACGACTAAAAGTGAATTATTCGTCGGACTGTAGGGACATTTTTGCATTAATTGTGTAAACACGAGAACATTTATGATGTAAAAGGTATTTAAATAAAAAGAAAAAAAAGTAAAATAAAACCCCATGTCAAAATTTTGTTCACAAGTGTGCAAAATTATCGAGAGACACTCGAACAACGAAATTATTAATAAACATTTTTCCCTATCACTCCACATTCTTTCCCGAGTTATCGTAATTTATTATTGGCACATAGAAGTGCTGTAATTTGCAAAAAAAAAGAAAAAAAAATACTGATCACGTGAGTGTACAAATACTAGATGATGACTCTCATGCCTATCACCAGTCAACTGACATCCTGACCTCAGGGTCAGGCAGTCCTAGTAAATCGATAAAGCATACCAAAACCTCTCCCCCGAGCCCAATAATAACCCAACAACATCCGAGTTTATCTTGCTCTCAGGTTTATCTAAATCCCCGATGTGGCCATACATCGGAGAGCATTACACTATCCTCGGGTTGATTAAAAAATTTCATTTCCCCCAGTCGGCAATCAGCTGTGAGCAACAGAGGATGCTAAAATTCAGTCAGAAATTGTGGCAGTCGGCCAGAATCGGTGAAGTTCTTGATGGTAATGTGAGTTCTATTAATTCTACCTGTAGTCTTTTCAAAAGTCATCCAGGGCGGGATTACTCCACCAACTCGATACCCAAAAAGACGTGTCTCTATGACTTTCACGTGGAGCATCATGGTGAGTTCTGTTTTCAAAGATCAGCGGCAAAAATGACATCTTACATGAAGATTTTCTCTCAATAATCCAGGAAAAGTTGTTAATTTCGCCGGTTGGCTCCTCCCCGTTCAGTACAAGGACGCAATCGCGGTGTCTCATCATCATACTCGCACCTACGCATCGCTATTCGACGTCGGCCACATGCTGCAGACGAGAGTCTGGGGTAAAGACGCGGGTGAATTTCTGGAGAGTCTCACAACCGCTGATCTGAAGAACATGAAATCCGGTGGTGCGTCACTCACAGTCTTCACCAATGACGCCGGTGGAATTCTGGATGATCTGATAATCACGAAAGATGGACAAGATCGTTACTTCGTTGTGTCGAATGCTGGCCGACGAAGTGAAGACACGGAGCTCCTCAATCAACGACTGGTAATCGCTGATTTAAAGAATCTCCATTTTTCAATCACTCGAACTGAGTCTTGCAGGACGAATTCATCAAACGGGGCAAGAAGGTTCAGCTGGAGTACCTAGACGCTTTGGACCAGGGCCTGTTAGCGCTGCAGGGGCCCATCGCTGCGAGAGTTCTTCAGGCACTCGTGAAGATCGATTTGACTAAGTTGTTCTTCATGAACTCGGTTGAAACCAAAATTTCTAACTGCAACGTCAGGATCACCAGGTGCGGCTACACCGGTGAAGATGGCTTCGAGATTTCCGTCAGGGGGAAAGATGCCCGGGTCCTCGCAGAGATGATCTTGGCAGTGGATGACGTCAGATTAGCGGGGCTCGGACCGAGGGACAGTTTGAGGTGAGAAATCCAAGGATTCTGAAAAGATTTTTAATAGCCTGTTCTCCTGTTCTAAAACATCAGGTTGGAGGCCGGATTGTGTCTGTACGGCCACGACATCGACGAGAACACAACGCCGATCGAAGCGGGACTGGCCTGGCTCGTTGGTAAAAATCATTTGATCGTTATTATTATTGCATAATAATAATCGCACTTACAGCTAAACGACGACGGGCAGAAGGAAATTTCACCGGTGCCGAGCGCATTCTTACGCAGCTGAAAGTCGGCGTCCGGAAGAAGCGGGTGGGCCTGATGCTGGGACAGGGCCCCCCAGCACGTGAAAACGCCCCAATTCTCACTCCCGAGGGGGAAAAAGTTGGGGCTGTGACTTCGGGAGGACCTAGTCCGAGTCTCGGTAAACCCATTGCAATGGGCTATGTACCACCAGATCTAGCCCAGAATGGAGGCGGCGTCCTGGTGGAGGTCCGCGGGAAAACCTATAAAGCGACTGTCACCAAAATGCCTTTCGTCAAGGCAAACTATTACACTGGCAAATAGTAATGTTGTATTTTTTTCTATGCGAATATAATGAAGTTTTTTTATTTTATCAGCATTTTATTATTTACGATTTTTTATTCGGGGAATTAATTCAAAGTTAAAATTTATGAGGATGACTGAAGCGTCGCGACATCTTTGAGGAATTGAAGTTTTATCTTCAACTTCATTCAGGATTTCGCGGTTCTCGATGGCCAATCGAGCAGAAAAAAAAATGGGATTCATATTGATAAGTTAAGGATTATTCATTGTTTTATCGACTGAAGATAAAAATAGTGTTGTCTACAATCGGTAGTTTACTTCCCTACGAGAAGTCACCAACAGTCGGTAAAAATACAGTCAGACAGTTTTCTATTTTGCTCTCATGCTTTCGTGACGGTTAACCTCACATTCTCGGTACCGGTTCCGAAATACACACAATTTCCAAATAAAAATTGAAAACAGAAATTGTAATATGAATCTGTTACCGAAGTGTCATGGAGAGTTTAGTAAAGCGGATTATTGGAATACATTTTTCAAAAAACGAGGAGAAAAAGCCTTTGAATGGTGAGACAATAATAAACTTTTAATTCCATTTTTGAAATACTCGATTATAATTTGCCTGTAATTATCCCCTAGGTACGGAGAATATCCAGAATTATGTGGGCAATTATCGAAATTCATAAAGACTAACGACGATGTGTTGGTCGTTGGCTGCGGTAATTCAACGCTCAGTATGGATTTACATGACGTGGGACACAGGTAGCGACTAATTTTTTTTTAATGGATAATCAGTCCTGATAACACCTCCATTCATTCTCGAAACCTGAGACAAACATTAAATTTTTTGGGCCCTGACTCGATGATCCCTCAGGTCATAAAATGTTGCCCACAAATTCTTATTGATTTTTCCAGAATAGGGTAGATCATAGAAAGCTCTGAATGAGATATCAACTAAATTGTTCGAAAATCACTCGATTAACTGTGACTGTATAAAATAAAAAAAAAACTTTTGAAATAAAAAACACAGGCTGGCAACTCCAGCGACGGGTACGTGAATTGCGGAATTACAGAAAAGAAATGTAATTTTTATATATTTTATTTATCTCCGTGTATAAACTTCATGTAATGAATTATTAATTATTGAGTTCGACTCAATTTTTATTGCCTCTCATTAGTCGATGAATCGATTCAATTTAGTAGAGGCGTTATCATCGCTGATTACCAAAGAAACCAATAGGAAGTATGATTTTCAGTAGTATCACAAGCATCGATATATCGAAAATAGTAATCGACCAGATGAGGGATAAACACAAAATAGATCGTCCAAATCTGGTGTTCCACCAGATGGACGCAACCGAGACAACATTTCCCGACGATAAATTCTCAGTTGTCCTGGATAAAGGTACACTGGATGCTCTCATGCCTGACAGCAACGAGGACACTGTCCTCAGGATAAATAAATTTTTCAATGAAATATCAAGATTGCTCCGAAGAGGAGGACGATACATCTGTATTTCTCTCCTTCAAGAGCATATTCTGAAAAAAATAGTGGATTATTTTTCATCCCCGAACTACTTGTTACGCATAACTCGATGTCACGAAGTGGAAAATAAAACGAGAGAGACAGAAGGAAGTGCAATGCCGGTTTTTTTTGTTGTCGCGACAAAATTTCCCGGGATAACACAGAGAGTACTAGAATTGTCATTGACTGATAGTCCGCCAATTCGAATATCAACACCCGAGGAATTTATAAATTCCGTTCTATCGAATCAACAATCTGCCCTGGTATGCGACAGACTCCAGAAACGGAGTATTGCTGACGTAGGAGAAGTGAATTTGGATCTGTACTTACCTGGTAATGACAGTCCGAGGTACACGATTTACGTTCTCGATCGGCCATCGACCAGTGGCAAGAGTTACGCAGCATTCCTTGTGCCCCAAGGGAGAGACACCAACTGGTTTTTCGGAACTCCAGAAGGAAGACGACATTTTCTCTCCAGCGTGGACAAAGATCGTGTATCGATCGTGATTCTTCGTCGTGAGCACAAGTTCATTGACTGGAATCAAGTGAAATCCGAACTAGCCCCAAGCATAAAAAACCTCTCGCCCCCAGGTCTTCCGAAGAATTACATAATTAATTATCTGTCCCTCGGAGAAGACGTGGGCCAGCGAGAGGTTCTTCACGAGGGTGAGAGCCAATTGAGTGGGAAATTCGTTGTCGAGGAGGTCGTAGAGGGTAACGAATCTCGTTCCCGACGGCTCATCTTCCTCGCCAATCAGTTCGTTGTCCAGAGTGAAGCGAAAATTCGCTGCATCAAGACCAGAAGGGGAAAGATAAAAAAAGTTGTTGATCCCGGGTGTCTGGCCTGCGAGCATCATGCGTTCATGTCACTGGGAGTCAGTGAAATCCTTCAGACGCAGAACAACGGTGAAATTCTCGTCGTGGGGTTGGGTGGTGGGGGTTTGTGCCTCTTTCTTCGTCACTGCTTCCCCAAATTGAAGATCACAGCTGTCGACATCGACGAGGTGATGCTGAAGATCGCCACGGATTGGTTTGACTTCGTCGTGGATGATCAGACGAGAGTTGTAATTCGCGATGGAGTTCAGTTCCTCGATGAAGCTGCTCACGAGATGAAGCGGTTCGATGCCATTCTCTTCGATGTTGACAGTAAAGATGTGTCCGTAGGGATGAGCTGTCCTCCAAAACAATTCCTACAAAGTTCCACCTTGGCCAGTGTCTTGAAATGCCTGAATGACGATGGCCTCTTCATCTTGAATTTAGTCTGCAGAGATAAAGGACTCAGACCTGCGATCCTTGAAGACTTGAAGAAAACATTTGCGTCGATAGCTTCGATGAAAACAGCGCACGTCGTCAATGAGATTCTCATGTGCTCAAAAAATTCCAAGGGCGATCAGTGGATGAGAAAATTGAAAACTTCAGCTGAACTTTTCAACGAGACAGCCAAGAAAAAAAAATTATTGAGCTCTGATGCTGTAGATGTTACAGAACTGCTCAATGGTTTAACCATTGAATCGTAAAAAACAATATCTTGTATTGGGAATCATGAATAAAAAGAATTAATGAAATATTTGGCAACTTTATTGTTTCATTCCATCACCTCCATATTTCGCAGCACAAAGCATTCAATCAATTATCGTAACATGGCCGAGTATATTCCATTTTTTTAGACGTGATAATCGTTCAACAACTCGCAAAAAGCAAAATACTCTTGATAATACGAATTCATCACTATAAACAATTCCTACATAAAAAAAATGATGACTATTACCCAGTGTTTATAAATATAATGAAATTAATGGAAAAAAAATAATCATTGAACTAGGTAACAGCCTCAGAGAGTAATAAATAATTAAACTAGCCTATATTTAATTTAATACAATAAAATTAAGTAAAATTAACGAATTTATTAGACCCCTCGTGGCTTCTCTTTTATTTACAAAAATCAATTGACAAACTCGGTGGGGGGGGGCTTATAAATCATACGTCTCACGATATGACCTATTAAATATCGACTAGGATACATGACATATCTCTTAAATTTTGTCGTTAAAGCGATCTCTATGGCAATTAAGACCGTCTGCGAATAATTTATCAGTGATCTAAAAAATCTAAAGAACAGTTGTTTCTCTAGATCGAATAAAAGTTTTTGACTTTCAATTCGTCATTGATGGAGTCCGATGTACCTCGTACATCGGATTTAACATTAAAAATTCATTTGATACAATGAATATTCAATAAATGCACATAAGTATTTAGGACGCATCGTTGAGTCCTGATATCTGTCGTTTTCTGATTCACCTTCAATTTACGGTTACGTAATTTTATTTTTTTACTAATGGGTTTACAACGACTGGGGGGCGATGAGTGACATAATTTTTAAAAGCATGATCGGTATTTTGTGCGTTACTGTGCTGGGAAGACCATTGGGAAATGATTTTTCGTCTAATTTTTTTAGAAAAAATTACGTTTAAATACAGACTATTTAATCACCTTAAAACACCTACTCCAAATATCATTTCCCCTCGATTCTCAAAGAATGAAAAATAATTTCCCCAGCCCTGCAAAAAACCGCATTGGTCAATCCAAATTTTTCACTATCAATTCCCCAACTCCCGATTTTCTTTGGTTAAACCGACGTTCCTTCAACGGTGGAAAAATTGATTCCTATCTACCCTAAAAAAAAATTGACCGCCCCTTGAAAAGCAAAACGTCCAAAAAAAAGGAAAAAAAAAAAGAGCAATTCCTCGCAAAAGTATAAAACCTCTGAGATTATCCCCCAATATAATTTACAAAAATCAGAAAAACTTTTTGACAATTTTCCTGAATCCTCCCTCCTTCTTCTTCTTCCCTGGAGTCGGAGTGTTGCTGCCACTCCCCGAGTCGTCACTGACCCCATGGCCATTGGTAGAGCTGCCATTTCGGCTCCTCAATACATCAACATAATGCATACCAAGAGGACTATCCTGATCCGACCTCGAGCTCCCGGAGTTCCTAGAATACCACTCCCAATTATCAGATCTCAATAGTGCCGATTTGGTTTCATTATTCTGCTTATCTCTCAGACTCCTAGATTTGAGGGCTGTCTTGATGAAAGACGGTGAGTGCAGTCGATTCTTCAAGATACTAATGCCACCGGAAGAATTGACCTTATCCCCGCAGTCCTTCGTCTCACAGGACAACCTCTCGACGAAGTTCTCCATGTAGTCGTCAACGACCTGTTGTACACCATTGATCCTCCCCTCATCATCATCCCTCCCTCCATCCTGATTCCGTCCGTATGACTCTGGAGCTGAATCCGGTCTCTTCAATCCCTCCCTCAAATCAGAATTCCTACAACTGCCACAATTAATCGAAGATGATCTCCCGAGCGGTATCTTCGTATCCCTCGATTCAAAATTCATCGTCAATCTGGCGAGTGAGTCCCGCTTCCTCTTCCTCTTGGTCTCCTTCCTGGAGCCCTCCCTATCGTCGATCATCAGATCTCTGTAACTTCCCGTGATCTTCGAAGTGATTTCACTGGGTCTACGACTCCTAGTCTTCGGGCTCATGGACTCTGCAGATTTTCTCCTCGTCACTTCCTTGCCCTCCACCTTCGGCAACTCGTCTTCAAGATCGTTTGACCGCCTACAGTATGAGATGATAATAACAAGAACAACGAGTTCCACAAATATGAAGATAATGTGTTGTCCAAACGTTGACAGCTTGCTCCGCCAGCTGTTGTGATCGTACAGCAGCATCTCCAGTGATTCCGAGAGATTACTGACCTCCTCCTTCAGAGCTGTTATCTCCTCCAACCTCTTCATCTCTCTCTCCTCTCCCTTTCTGAACTCTTCACCCATCGCCGCAGTAGCTCGCTCCAAAGACCTCTGCATCTCCTCCACCTGCTTCTTGTACCTTCGACTCAACTCCTCCAGGTACTGACCACTGAGCGACATGTTCCTCTCCAAGGCCTTTATCCGATTCGACAGTCTCAAAAACACCGATTCCTTCTGCTGCGGAGTTGAGCTGGCAGTTGGATATGTGACAGTAGCTGAATTGCTGGCAGAACCCGATGAATCGCTGTCCAGGTCCTTCAAATCCGAAAGAAAAGTATCAAGACTCAGTTGATCCTGTGGTGATAGCTTCAGCTCCTCCTCCCTAGCCTTCTCATCTCTCTCTTCCATCTTAACTTGCATCGACTCCGAGGACTCGTCACTCTTCTGAGTCTCAGCTGGCATGCTTTCCTGACTGGAACTCGTCTGCAGATACGTCTGCGTCGTACCATCTAGGGGTGTGATAATCGGTGGTTCCTCCAGAATCTTTAACGACGACGTCGCCGAGTTTATCAACGGCGATGGCGTCGTCACAACTTCTGCTTGCATTGTCTCTTCAGTTGTGTCCTTGCTTGGTTCGAGAATCGGCACGGAAGACTCACGCTTCATCTCCTCTTTACCAAGTGTCTTCGTCGGCTTTATTTGAGAGGCCAACGTCTCGGATGTTGCTGCAATTTCAATTGCGAGCTTCAGGTCAGCATTCACCTCATCCAAAACAACCGAGTCCAATTTCCGTTTGGTTACCGCTGCTGTTGACCGGCAGTTGATGCCTTCCGAATCCTGCAGACAGGTGGGTATTATCTGAGGTAGGGTATTATCTTTCAAGGTCTTCTGCGACTCCGTGTCGTTTTCCGTTGCATTCGTGGTTCCAGAGTCTTCGAAAGGGATCGCCAACGATTTTCTGTTTTCAATCGCCAAAACGTTGCAAAGAGCTATAATATATTCCGGAGAGAACACCGAAACGAAAACCGAGCCCTGAACCCTCGTCGAAGATATTCTACGATCTATCTTCTTCTTCGATCCTTCTGTGACGTCTACACCAACAGAAGTGCAGAGTTCATTGTGCAGCGTTTGGATGACAAACGGAATCTTCAAGATCGAGTCCAAATGATGTATTCGACAGCTCAGCAACTGATACACTCTAGCCAATTTGTCCTCAGTGCAATTATTACAGAGGATAGTGTACCTCGGTGTCATGCAGTTCACGAAGGCTGTCATATTTTGACCAATGATCTCTTGATCAGATATGTTGCTCTTGGCAGGATCGCCCGTTTTCACCAGAACTTCCGCCGCCTTTTTAACGATTCTAATAACCACATCAGTGGCACTCCCGAAGAGATTCCTCGATGAATCACTCCCGTCATTATCAGCCACTTCTTCATCATCGTCCTCGTCCTCATTATGAGAAGTCTCTTGAATATCCGTCTCTGTCTCTAATACCTCAAACTCACTAGTACCATAAGCTCGAAACAAAGATATCGGACAAAAATGCTCGCTACCGTAGTGCGAGTGCAACTCGATCTTGATGAATTTTCCAAAAAGGTGGGGATGAAGAGCAAAAGATTGAATATCTCTCTCGTCTTTAGCTGTAAATTGGCCGACAGGGCTCCATTCCCTTGTTGGAAATCTATCACTAACGTAAACCGACAAGTCTTTTGGGGACGAACTGAATAGTTCAAAGTTGGCGAGTTCAATTTTCTTAGCTTGAATAGCCTCGCACAATTCCACGACAAACCAAACTCTCGATGTACAAGTATTGAGCATGTACTCATCCCTCGTCGATACCAGAATACTCCTTGCACTTCTCGCTTCCGGATTAACAGCAACAATTTTAGCACCGCAGTCAGGTGATGCGTAATTCTTTGATCTTACCTTCATGTTGCCGATTCCACGGCCCGGATTACCGGGATTCTGTATAGAAGCATTTGGATGGGTTTTCTTCTTCTCGGCCTCTTCCAGTCGCTTCTGAGTCCACTCGCTGAAGGAGGGAATGTCCTCGTGGGGCTCGGATGCCCCTGAACCTACGATACCATCCAGAATGATCGGGGCTGTCTCCTCGAGGCTTCCAGAGATGAGTTTTCCTTCCTCGAGCTCACCAGAGGTCGGAATGACCTCCTCAGGTGAATCCTCAGGATCTTTTGGGACTTCATGCTCGAGTGAAGCGTCTCCAGGATGTGGAGTGACACCTTCCAGTCGTTGATCTGCTCGGACAACCAGGACTTGGTCTGTTTCATTAGGTGATTGGTCCTTCTGGTCTGTTCCATTGAGACCTTCATCAGCGATAAGCGCTGATACTGAGGGGGGACGTGCAACTCCTGGCGATGAGAGTGTTATCGGGGTTTCAGAGTCTATAGATCTTGACGCGACTGTTAAATTTTTGGATGACGTTCTTGATGGAGTCTCGGAGGACAAGTGAGGCTCTGCCAAGCTGTGGAGCTCGGCTGAGGCTGTGTCTACGAGGGTAAGGACAACGGATTGACCCGTTTCAGATATCCTGGAATCATAAGCATCAGGACAAATGACTGAGCATCATCATACCCTAAAGTTCTGGGATTGATGTTTAATGATCTCATGAGGATAAATGATGTGCCGGAACCGGGAGTTCGATTGTTAATAATCAAAACAGTCGAACGTGGAAAGCAAGAGGAAAGGGACGGAAATGAACAGATAAATGAGATCAGGCGTAATAAAAAAATACCATATTATTCTAAAATCACACACAGGATTTTTCAATATTTCATTATCTTATTTATTAACATTTCCCTTTCATTGCTTCCTGGGTATGAGTTCTTTTGAGATCTCACCGATTATAAAAACAAGCGGGAACACACCACAATGCACCAACAACAGCTAGATAAATGGCAGCAGCATGAATGAGTTGTCTGAATGATGATGCTTTAGAATTTGAGCTATCCTCATTCCACTTAATGGAACATCCTGAATCATTGGTTACGACCTTTGACATGTCAGACCTGTCTTTCACCCTGTGTCACGATTTTTCAGATCTATCAGAGCCACATACTGCTACACGAGTGATGCTCTTGCTCAAATTTGTCATTATAACAGAATTATCAGGTGTTGTGATATTTATAATGATTTTTTGGCTGTCACACACCTCCTGCCGTCTGCAATAACAACTAGGTGGTAAAATGTATCGTTGATTTTATGTGATTGCCATCTAGGTGTCGACTGTTCTGAATTTTAATGATCTATTGGGTGTCCGGTTGGTTCTTTCAATTCAATTCCATTCAATTTCCAGCGGAATGTTCTTGATGAAAAAAATGAGGAACCATTAATTGTGAATTTAATGAAAGTATGTTGTGGGAGTTTTATCAATCTGTGACGCTTCAATTCCCGTGGGGGGGAGGGGTGGAAAGCTGGGATCTACTACCGGTTTCTGGTTAATGACTGGTACTGAGTGAATTTCATTCTTCGGGTATAGAAAGTCGTCGGGACTTGTCGTAATTCATCTCCAATGGATTTCAAAGGAGAATGCACTGGAATAGTCTTTTTGGGAGGATATAAGGCGTTTATGCTGGGACTGGAATTTTTATCAGGCGCCAGTAATTGATTGGATGTTGAGATTGTCATGTGAAATTGTCGTCAATGTCAACGGATATCATTTTTTTTTTTTCGAACTGTAGAGGTCAGTGAATCCGAACGAATTGATTTACGTTTGAGCTTTCACCGGTTGCTTTAGCGATATCAAATGTTGGTTTGGGATATTTGAAATTCAAAACTAGGGTGAAACTCTCGTGACTTGATCGGGATTAAAACCGTTTTATTATCGAGACATGACTTGTTTATTCTTCTTCCTCATTACTATTGTTGCTATCTCCTTTTCCATTTATTTATAAACTCGTTCTGTTCATAATAGATACAGAATCAATGACAATCGATGAAAATTGAATTACCGAGTGATAAAATAGTTTGTAAAATGTGTAAAAAATGGATTTTAGTTGCGGAAATGATATTTTATGTCTGACACTTGAAATTCAACGTGAAATTAGTGTGAAATGCTGATCGCCCGCGCACATACTGTTACATTTTTAGCGACTTTATCCTGTGATGGATGTGAGTGAACCTGTTTGGGCGAGGTAATACAATCGACCCACGGGCCCACAGTAATCGAAATCAGATGTAGAATATTGGTTTTAAAAAATAGCCCCAAGAGTTATGGCGGGAATAGCATTCCAGATCGGAAGTCATTGCACATGGATCTGCGTGTGGGCATTTTATAGCCAATTGTTCAGCTAGACGTGTGTTATGAATTCCACGGGGTTTATGAATGATTTTTTTTTTATAAGAATTATTTATGCAATTGTGATCAATATAAGTAGCCGCTCGATTTGCATAGGTTAATTCACTCCAGGTGGATAAGTCATTGGGATAAAAAATTATTGATATTTTTTGGAATAATTAATTTATCCTGAAAGCGATTGGCTGGTTAATGTTTATTTACTTCGGAAATAGAATTTGTTCCGGATACCGCATCCCACGTCTAGTGGCCATTAAAAAATTCCATTCCACTCTCAATTATCACTCACGTAGAGTGTAATTAAATCACCCCACTGCCCCCACAATTGTGTGCACGAGTATTTTATTGTGAAGATATTTTTCTCCTCAATTGAATTTAATTATGTGAAGTGAAAGAATTTTAATTATTGTACCTGTGTATTTTCTGGTCTTGATATTGCATGAATAAATGAATTGTTTATGGATTTATCGATTTATTTAGTGATCTTTCATCGGGAAAAGTTGGAGAAATATAGATCGCGACTATCACACTGATCTAGGATAATAAATCAGGGGAGAAAGAGATTGCTCGTGATATTATGGACCTTTTATATTAGTACGAAGAGGCTCTCCCATGTTTCTTGAAAAAAATATTGTATTCCTAACGTCAAACCGTAAACGGAGAGAAAGCAATTGATTGAATGATGAGGAATGAGAGGAAGAGCTTTCACGGTTCACTCTATGTGTCAATTAATGAAAGAAGACATACCAAAAAGACCAGCCCACGTTTTCCCATATTTCCTTCCTTTTTTAACATTTACTATTTAATCATAAACTCATTAACCCATCACAATAAAAATAATTGCCAATAATTTCCTGATCTGTCAATAGAGATACAAAATTAATGCAAAGTGACTGTTAATATTGAAGAATTCAGTGACATCAGCTGAGTCTTTTTTTAGAGCAAAATCAGAGGACGTAACATTTGAAAATAAAACTGGATACATGGTCATTTCGACTGTGACCCGAGATCGCTTACGTGGGAATTACCCCAATTACGAATTAAGTGCACTTAGGCTTTTCTGAACTCATAGCCGTGAAAGTGGGGACTTAAACTATGACAGAAAACGCCCCGTCTCGTATTCCTGACACTTGAGTCCGAAGATTCTCTGGTAGAGCATCACAAATACCAGTGGACATTATTTTTTATCATTCAGTGAACCGTAATTCTGACCTATTGTTTTATTCTAAAGTGAGATTCAGTGGTGGTAATATATATCCGGGAATAAATTGATAAAAATGGCCCAAGATAGTGATTCCCCACCAGCTTTTTGCACAAGACTCCGAGGCTACCTCAGGGATTCGCCCTTTTTCTGTAAAATTATTGAACTTGTACGTTATTTTATTTATCGTACTACTAATCAAGACGGAATTATACGCTAATATATTTTAGTAACGATTTTATTTGCTCGCCAGGCATTCTGTGTTATTTCCCTGGGATTGATCATCGATCCTATCAATCATGGAAAGCAAATGATGACTGATAATAATTGCAAGGGGCTCATTTACCTAGCACTCTGCGGCTACATCATGATCAACGCTATTGTAATATTGTGTTATCTGTGCGGTGAGAAAATGGTGAAAAATATGGTAAGAAAGATTCCTCTCGTGGAGTTCTCATGAAATTCTCAGTCTTATCAATCGATATTTCGCGGAACGATAAAATTCCACTGTCACACTTTATCACTTCGCCGGTTAATTTTATTGTGCAAAACGCGGAATTTATCAGGCATTGATATTCCGTTTTCCCATAAAATCTTGGGACGTGTGATAATGTGATCGCGCAGAAAATAAGAATATCTAAATGTTTTCTTTAGGTACAGTGCATTAATTAAATTTAGGGGTGTATAATTTGGTGTAAATGACAGAATAAAAAATGTGGATTATTTTTTCAGGCAATGAGCTTTACCGCACTAGGAGCTATTTTAACCCTCGGGGCTGGGATAGTGATACTTCATAATTACGTTCAATGGGACCGCAATCACCTTGGGCACAACATAGAGCAGTACCTGGCCCAAATGCTGGCCAGTGGTATTTTCGCTATTTTTGCATCAGCTGTTTTCATCCTCGATCTTTATCTAACGAATAAATACGAGGAGAGTTGAAATGGAGTATTCAATTGTATCGATAACGCAATGATTTATTTTTTTATTAATTTCACGTGCTTCCTTAGTGCTCCGAGCATAATTGTATTTTTTCAATAAATCAAAATTTTTTTATTATGAGCCCACAATTTTATTGGCGATCGAAAGAAATTCAATTAGCGTTCAATGAATTTTAAATAACCAATGGAGGGGGAATTAACGATTTATTCAACCGCGAGGGTAACCACCTGTGTCAGTACTATTTTCTGGGGCATTAGAATGCTTCATTCTAAAATAGTAACTGAAAACAAAAATAGAAAATAAGCGACCCGAGTATCTGTATTATGTTGCATCCCTGGAGGGAAAATAATGCAATTATTTATTCATGAACTTGAATTAAATTTTATTAATCGCAAAGGATTCGGTAAATTTTTTTCATTGAAAAATTTTTAATATCTTTGAAATTTTTTACAAGTTATTCCAACGCGATTTAATGAACGATTTCTACAGATTAAACCATCAAGTAATCCCAATGAACATAATAATTATTCCGCAACCTAGATGACAACCACCTTTTAACTTTTTCCAATTTTAATAAACAGCTGTGCAAATCACGTGGAAAACATAAATCAACTAACGGTTGTAATCATGAAGAACGGGATAACAACGCAAGTCCAACAAAAAGCAATACCCCACAAGGTCAGAAGTATTCCAATTCCTCAAAAAAAATAAGCCTTCACGTCTATTTGTCCATCAAACTGTCACGTTACCCGCATTATCAGGAATTATCGCGGCACTAATTTCAACGCTTTACATCACCTCCTCACAAACAACAGATTTGAGTTCCACAGAAAAAAAATAACATTGCAGCCACTTTATCGCTCATTAATTTTTGCAAGACTTGAGCATATCGATACTTCAACTAGCCAACGATGTCCTGTCCAAGATTTCAATTTTTTTTTCACTCAGAAAGTGATTATGTGAATTTATTTCCAACACTGAGGAATTTCGGCATCTCGAATGATTTCAAAAAACTGGAGATTCCACCGCGGAAATGATAATCACCGGAATATGATAAGAGCACGTTGCATTATTCATCTAGCAGTGGTCTGATAAGCAGTGGCCGCTTTGGTGAGCGCCGCTAGGATGACTGAAAGCAGAGCTAGTCGGAAGTACAGAGAACCGCAATATGGGGTGGAGGGGTTTGAGTCTCGTTTGCCAATGGGCGTGTGCCATATTTTCCTCAGTGATTTCAATATGCGTTAAGAAATTCATCAAAGGGAGAGTGGAGAACATAAAATAAAGATACTCCTTGAAAAGAAAAAATTGCGAAACCAATACGAATCAAAAAGAACTACGAATCAAAAAGAACTACGAATAGGGGAAAGTAAATTGTTATCACAATTTTTTTTAATTATGATTGATCAACATTATAATTTCTAATTGAGTTTAGAACATGATTGATCATGAAGCCTCTGGTGTGTGTGAATAATGAAGAGAATCATTTCATCATTTTAATTCACTCATTTCGCATCTGCGAAATGAAATGCAGATATTTTAAAGAATGTAATTAATCATAATGCAGCCAGTCAACACAGATGCCTACAGTGACGTGGATTTAATTTGAATCAACAACTGTACGATGTTATTTCAATCACTCCTTTCAGACACAATAATTCAGTGGATATCAACGGATTATCGTGACTCGACTAATTCTGTTGCTGTAGGTACGATTAATTCATCTAAATGACTTCTCGAACTATTTCTCAAAAAAGAAAAAAATGAATCCAATCGAATACAAGGCATCGATATTTATCCACAAGAAAATGATTCATAAACCATCAATTTAGCACCTCGACAGGTTGATTATATTCACGAGAGTTCAGCGGATGGAGACAGCTCTGCCCCAGATAGCGTGAATTTTTTTTTTTTCTCTTTGAGCGAAAAATCAGGGACGGGAAATCATCTGACACATTGAAACTGGTTGGCAACCCGTTCCCTACCAAATACGTTTGTAGGATACAAGTCCTAGTGATGAATTTTCTAATTCTTATTGGATGACCCCATCAATTCAATCATTCCTCAGATGTTGTGGGAGATTGTGAGAAATTCTACTGCAATCTGAGTTGAATTTATATTATCCATTTAGAAATTCAAAATCAATACGAGAAAAACACCGACAGAAGCCAAAAAACAATCTGATTAGATAGAATTGGATAATTTTCCGGCGCCAGGTGTATAGATTACGATGACGAGAAAAAAACGCATGAGAAACTAGAGGCTTCACGATGACCTTGACTTTAGTCAACCGGATTCTTGTATTATTGCTCTATTCACACATGTCCGTCACATCTGGATAAACAGACAGGGGCTTCCCTGCGCGCAAATGAAAATTCTGACGATCGACAAGTCGGGGAATTTTATAACTAATCTCATTAAACATGATAATCCGCAAGGGAATGCCAGAATGATGGAGGAAATGATCAATACTTCAGAATACGACCGACTGACCAAAAGAAAAATATCTTCCACTAGAATTTACAGAAGCAATACGAATCAAAAAGAAATACGAATGAATAGGGAATTGGCCTCAAAAGATACTAAGTCATTACCAATTCTGTAGACTCATTGTAGTTATAAATGTCTACTCCAAGAATATAACGCACGAGTGCAAGGAAAAAGGAAAGTTCAATGATAAAGACACGTCTACCGAAGGTTACTGACATTGAACTTCCTTGAATTGCTGGCACATTCAACTACGCGGTTCATTTATTGTAAAATCTGTATGACAGGTTACATCACAAATTTTTAATCCAGCATTTGCTCATTTTCTGGAATATTTTTTAGCATTTTTCTTGGGGGGAGAGTTCAGCGAATTTTAAATGATCAATTTCAACTCGATGTTTTCTAATTGACTAATTCAGGGTTCACTATTCCCCCCACACCTGTCCACAAACAGGTTTCACGATATTTGAGACCGTAATAGATACGTTACATATCCACGTGCTGCAGAAAAACGTTTCGTCTGGGCATGCGAATTTCTATATTTAGTTTGAAAAACGTGCGCCAGTCACCAGTCGATGATCGATTCGTGACCCCCGATAACAGCGAAAGGATAATCAAGAGTTATTCTCAATTACGTTTCATTGCGAATTTAATCGATGAATTTGAATAATTAAAATGGAAATTAAAATTCAAGGAATCCCATCGCCAGCTAGAAGAATTTTTCTTCGCGTTTAGATTCACGATCTGAGGATAATTTTCTCATTTGCGTTTAGATATGATTTTCCTCGAAAAAAAAAGTAATAGGCGTAAGATTTGAATTTTGAAAATGAAGTGTTATCTAAATGCACCTGCAGCGAAGGAATGCATTAAAAAAAAATTATCAAATGACGTGACTCAATTGAGGTCACATGAGGCATTGACGTAATCTCCATGGAATTCGGATTATTGTCGCAGTGAACTGAATGCGAGGGTAATTCCATCCTCAGCTACAATGTATTTTGAACCGAGCGGTTCCTTGTATTGATTAATGACAATTATTCCATCGAATTCCCTGAGGAATTTCTTCTCCGACTCCATAATGGTAAAGGTAGCCCTTTCCATGGGGACGCTCGCAATAATATTTTTTGGAAACTTTCCAATATAATTCGAATGACGCAGAAGGTCCATGAATTATTGCCAATTTTTATAACGCAATTCAACGGACAATTTCGCTTTCGGTAGATAATAATGGTTTTCTATTAAGACTCACCCCTGCGACAAATTCGGCTGTTGTGTGAGACTCTCATTGATCCAATCCAATTTTTCCCTCGAATTCTCATCGTTCTGTGCCTCTGGAGCTTGTGAGTCCTCCAAAGCTGCATTTTCATCCTGAAAGATAATTTTTCATTCACTGACAAAGTCAAGGGATTTTTTTTCAGGAGTCATTGAAATATTTGGGATTAATCTCAAATCATTACCTGAGAGTTTTCTCGGGTGTTATCAGTCTTGTCAAGTGCATCCACGTAATTTTTCTCACGTAGGATATTGAGAGTATCGAGAATATCCCCGGGTACCTCCTGGACTGTGATATTGTCCCTCACCTTGGTCTTACCGACCTGGTGTTTCTGCAGGGGTCCATGAGTGCCCTCAGAGGCTACGATTATGAACAAAAGGAAGCTGTCGGCAAATCAAACAACAAAACAATCAGATTTCTACAAAAATCTGAATAATTCCTGGATTCAATAAGGAAAAAATCGAGCAACTCAACAATTTCCGCTATTTTTCAAAGAAATTACACGCCTAGATCGAAAAATACCCCCCTCTCTATTCTCCAAATATTATTTTCCCCAATTTCCCATTGAATTCCCTCATTCGTTTGTAGAATCAATAAGAAACGACCACGTCAGTCACAGATCCCAGACCCCGGGGCTTCCCTAACCTCAAAGCTCTCCATTTCTGTTAATTCCCCCCAAAATTCCTCCTCCAGCCCCAATAACCCAAAAAAATACCGTAAAACCATGATAAATATATTTTTTAGTACCTGGATACCACTGATATGAGGAGAAGAGTCCAGTAAACGCGGAAGAGCTTCATCCTACCTCCAAAACGTCATGATAACCCTCAGTGCTATCTCCACTCTTAACTTCACGATTTTAACAACTTCACATTCACTGATACTCGATTAGAAAAGTAAAAAAATTCGTAGAATTGGAATTTTTAATAAACAATCGTTTATTGGAGATCCGATGGTGCGGATCATCCGCTTCGAACTGACGTGTGTCACTGACTGAGGGGAAAAAACAGATTACCAACGACTTTTTACCGCGCACGATGAATTCACTGTTTAGCGGAGTAATTCGGGGTTAATGACACTATTAGATATTTAGTCGTTTTTTTCGGGAATTTTTTCTTGTGCTGGTGTTTTAACTGTGCGCGGCATTTCGTCAGAAGAATGTGGCAATTCCAGAAAATGGCGTGGCACCGCGGGGGAGGGGAAATCAGCTGATGTTCATATTCTTTTATGATCATTTGAAAAATAATGATTGACTGCTCAGAATTAATTATATATTTTTAAATCATTAAAATTGTTGATTAAATCACATTTTGAGAGATTATTTTTTACAATTCACTTGATTTTACCGATTTCTCAATAAAAAATTTATCATTGCTAAAATTCATTGGTCGATGAATTGTGGTATTTACAATAAATTCAATAATTAGTTTTGTATTTTTTAATTTCTACCATAATGTGGTGGATATTGGTGAGATGTACTCTGGCATTTGCTGGTAGAATTTTATGCAATCGGTGATAATATTGAACGAGTTGTGTCATAGCTCTCTGTACAAGTGCAGCTCCCAGTACCAGATTTGGAAATGATTTTAAAACTTCGCGGTTTATCTCCTCGAGTGAGTGTTTCCAGTTGTTGGTGAATGACTTGACGAGGTCGAATGCACGTGGCTCTTGTCGCTTTAAATCATCAGTCAATCCTTTCTCGATCATAGCCTCGGACTCCTTGACCAGCTGAATTATCCCACCAAAATGGGGTGAGAGCACCTCCTCGACATATTCGGATGAACGAGAGTTCAATTGCTCACGAAAACTCTCGGCCTCTTTCGAGTTATCTCTCGTTCTCTCCATGAGTACACCGAGCACTAGATCATAATTATTAATGAGAAATACTAATTGTTGAATTCGATTTGTAAAAATTGCAGCCATACGCAGTAGATAACACTGAACAGCTTCTCGAAGCTCAGCTAGAAGTTGAGTTGCACCCTCATTAGGGAATCCCTCGCTGACGCCCACCATTGCCGCTGAAAATTCCGCGTACCTCCTGGTGATATAATGAGGTCCAGTCTCCTTCTGAAACTTCAAGGGATCACAATCCTTGACACTCTGTATATTCAACGTGAAAATAGTATAAAATCTAGGCCAAAGAATGGATTTTGAATTGTCCCAGTATTTATCAAGTGCTGGGACAGCTCGTTTGTGACACGTCATCTGGTATCGCATGACCAAGTGGAGGCACAGGAATAGGGCTATCGTGTCGTAACAGTCGTCCACGAAGGACTGGAGATTTTTCTGCATGAGGGTTACAGTGCTTCCCATCACCTGATTAAATATGTCCATTGCTTGGGATCCTCTGACTTTGAAGAATTCTGTTAAAAAGAGATATTCACGACAGGCATTGTCCACCAGGGCGTACTGCTCACTCCTGAAGAGCGCCTCGTAGTGATATCGAGTCTTGGAGGCTGTGTGGGGCACGATAATGGGCTCCTCCAGCTGTGAACCCAGTACTTCACCCCTCGTTCCAATCGAGAAAACAGTTCCCCTGTGCTTCAGACTTGTTTTATGAAATATTCCCCTACCCACGTTATCCTCGACTCCCATCAGGTCGTCCTTCGATGGTTTCTCCTCAAACTGGAATTAATCAAAAATTAAATGATCCTCTATTTTTTATTATTTTTATTATTTACCTGTAGTTTCAACAGTCTAGATGAGTAACTCTTGAAGTACGAGTAATAGATTTTACTCATCGTGTCCACATACTCCCCACAAATTTCCTCAGCAACATTTCTCTCATTCGCGAGGATAAATTCAAAGAAAAATTTATATTTCAGCATGTTATTCTGGGGGACTTGATAATTGGTCATGGGTTTTCGAAATTTGTATATCTGCTCGAGAAGATAAGTTCTTATTTTAGCCATTGCTTTTATTTTCAATTTATCGACAATGTCCCGGACGTCGAGGGTTGATTTCGCGTCCTTGAAGCTCTGCTCCTTGATAAAATTGATTTTGTGGTTGAGGGTCTGCAGGTGAATGAGAAAGTCCTTGTCTGTAACTTGACATTCCATGATTCCTGTAATCAAAGACTCTGGGACAGTCATATCCTCGATGAACTGACTCAATGGGCCCCTGATGGCTTGTCTGTTTGACAGCTGTTGACTCATGGCTATCGAACGTCTCTGAAGGTTCAATATTTCCGTGCTGATGCTCCCCAGATCCGTTTGAAATCCAATCAGCATCGACTCCATTTTCTCTAGGATATTATCACATGCAGCAATTTGATTATGCAAACTTGCAATATTCTGGCTCTCCTTTATGTAATCCTGGATACTCTTGTTCTCCACTTCCTTCAGCTCTTTCTCAATTTGTCTCGAGTACTGGCGAAGGTCAGTCCCAGTTCTCAGCACCTCCTGGACAACGTCATCTTCGAGATCCGGGGGCAGCTGCTCGCTCTCGTCGAATATATCACTCTCGAGTTTATTAATCGTCTCCATTTTAGTTAATTCACTTCACCAATTTTTTATTCAATCTATTATGAACATATTGAGGAGTGTTCTGAAGTATGACAAGTAAACACTAGTCACGAGATTATAACAATGATAGAGGATCGACCTGGGTGAAGGCCGGGAACATGAAGATGATTTTTAGTACTTACCCCAGGACTTGGAAGGCGTGAGGATGACGTAGATCAAAGAGGATTGACTGAAGTAGAGGCTCAGTTCTGGGGGTTTGAGTGACACCAGCGGCTTCGTAGTACTGCACCCCAAGAGAGGGAGGGCGCCACATGCAATGGGGGTGTCGTCTCGTCAGCTGACTCGGTAACTGCCTCAGTAGCAGTCAGAAGAACCAGTCAACTGGGTGAATTTTATTTTATGTGTTACGAAATTGGTATTTACTGAAATTTAAAAATGAAAAATTTTCAAAAAAAGTATCGAAGGAGCATAAAAATGGAGAAGGTATTCACTGAAATTTGAAATTTTGAAATTTTTCAAAAAGTATCAGGGGAGCATGAAAGTCGAGGGGGTATTCACTGAAATTGAAAAATTCGAAATTTTCCAAAAAGTATCAGGGGAGCATGAAAATCGAGAAGGTATTCACTGAAATTTGAAAATTCGAAATTTTTGAAAAAGTATCAGAAGAGCATGAAAATCGAGGAGGTATTCACTGAAATTTGAAAATTCGA